CCATAGCTGTAAAGCTGGACTGATTCTTCCCAAAATACACTCCCAAACGAGGAATATAACTGGGGTTACATGTGTCAGTACTCGGCCTACCGGTCCTCAGGGTTCCCACTCTTTCTTTAAAAGGAGTGGTTGTTGGAGCAGCGATGGTCACATTGCAGCTCCTCTCTTTGTCGGCCACTAGGTGGACGCAGATTAGAGGCCTGGCGATGAGGACAGACTGGGCAGGACCGCCATATGTGTCACTAATAAGAGGATAAATCCTCACTGGATACAGGCTCTTTTGATCTGGGTGATTTTTGATGTGAAGTGTCTGGTGTGTCTGGTGTGTGTGTGTGTGTGTGGGGTGTGTGTGTGTGTGTATGTGTGTGTGTGTGTTTGTGGTTAATTTGTGATGACCTGTGCATTTTTCAGCAGTCGGCTCATTTGAGTTGATTCACTGTTATTCTGTCTTTGGGTTTCCCCTCATTTTTCCATATTTGTTGATCACTTTAATTTAGTTTTAGAAGCTTTTCTCTGAGTTCAGACACACAAACTGAGGTTCTGCTGTGAATGTGGGACAGCCGAATACTCGCCACACTGGCTCGCCTGTTTTGGTCAAATCTGAATGACAATAGCTTGAAACAACTGACATTCATGTGAGCACCCCCCGGGGGCGCTTGATTTCCACTATAGGAAGTCTGATGTGGGGGGCAAAGTCGATTGAGGTCAGGTCTCTTGTCGACTCAATTAGGGTCAGATTGAGAAAGGCTCAACTTTTAAATTGGTACGTATAGATTTGTTTTTAAAAATGTGTTTTTTCAGACACACTCGCTGGGTTGTTTTGCCTTCCGTTATTACTTTATCGTATTATCCTCCAACATTCAAGCCTTGAAAACCCGTGTTTTCCTTCCTCCTGCTGTTGTTGCCTTGGTGCCCAGTTATTTTGTCATCAGACTCGGTTTAGTGTGTCTGGTATGTCTGGGGGAATGAGGATGATGTGGCTTCATTAACAAGGAGAGCAGATGAGTCACACGGGGTGAAAACCTGGAGATAAACCACACTGTGAGACACTGTGCTGAGGTTTACTAAACCGTAATGCTGCCGACCGGTTTAGACACGACGCAGATCGTAGAAACAAGCAGCGGCTCAAATAATCGTTCACAAAAATCACCGTATTGGAAATATTTTGTCATATTTCAAGCAAAAAAAGTCAAATATTTCTGGTTCCAGCTTCTCAGATGTGAAGACTGAATCCTTTCCTTTGTCACAAACTGAGTATGTTTGGGTTTTTAAAGCAATTAAAAAAACGTGTTTTGGGAAATTGTGATTGGCACTTGTCAAAAGGTGTCTGGTTTTTAAATTGCTTGTCAGTCCAAAAATAATAAATAAAAGAAAATATTCAGTTTACAACCAGATACGACAAAGAAAAGCAGCAAATGATCTCATCTGAGAAGCTTTATCTTACAAATATTTTGAATTCTTTCTCGAAAAATGTCAAACAATGAATCGAATCAGCCCTAAAATCTTTATAATCATTTAATAACAGAAATTCGCACCTTAAATGTGAAGATTTCCTGCTACAATACTGCATGTTTGAGCCCGATATGAATCAGATAAAGATATATCTACATCAACACTTTTCGTAACCAACCCGGGCCGATATCGATTATAGAGGGGGAAATTAACTCATTAGTGGCCGATATATTGAATGTTTGAGTGGGAATTAAAATGTAAAGGTTGTCAGAAAACTGCTTTCTGAAACAATAAACTTACATTTATTTAAAATGTTCTTTAACATGTCACAATATGACAAAATAAAATATCGGTTTATGATGTTTTTTAATATTTTCTAACATTTTATACACCAAACAATAAAAAATCTGTTTATAATAGGAACATGGTCATGAGTTGCAGCCTCCTGTTCTGGATTGATTCTGCTTCCCAGTGACTTTGCTTTCCTCAGCGCGGTCTCGCAGGACTCAGTCCGACCCTTATTACCACTGTGATTGAGAAAGACAATCCTCTTAGCACAGAGCCTGTTTTCTTTCTAGGGCACTGAATAGCTCTGTACAGAACTCCTGTCAGTTCAGCCCGGCTGTCGGATATCCTCTCTCTGTTACGTTCCTTTGTCCACGCTACATGCTCGGGTCTCTCCTCTGAAACACAACCCCCCTCTCCACCTCTTTACGGCCTGAGCCGGCAGCTGCAGGGTTAATGTTTAGCAGCAGCAGCAGCAGCAGCAGCAGCACAGGCAGAGAGGCAGGAGTTGTAGGAGGAGGAGGAAGAGGTGGAGGAGGAGGGGAGTGGGAGAAGGAGAGCAGCAGAGAGGTGGGGGCTGGTCCACAGCTGTTGTAGTAGGCAGGGTCTATTGGGGTAGGAAGCCTGCCTCACTCGCCCTGGAACAATGGGAGACATGGCAGCCTCTGCAGACAGCACAGGCACACACACACAATGCACATGCCCAAGGACAGGCCTTTTCTAGCTGTAGCGTAGAGGAAACCGGCTTCCTCACCACACTCGCAGGGTGACGGCACTTGTAACAAGGGGGGAAAATATTCTCCTCCGCAGCCGGAAAACAGGAATGTAAGGTTGTGGCCTTTCTGTCTCTCTCTCTCTCTCTCTCTCTCCCTCTCTCGCTCTCTTTTTTTGGTGCCTTACGTTTCATTCTGCTGTGAGGAGATCTCGGATGCGCTGACTGGATGATTGAAAAGGCAGCGGGAGGAAGGTGAGCTGACCCAAAATGTGTTCTCGAGGGGGGGGTGGGTTTGTAAATCTGTAAATACTGATTCAGTTCTTCCAGCTGACAGTCTGTTTCCTGGTGTGACTGCGTTTCTGTGGCCACAGTGAGGCAGATCTTTTTTTACTGGTGTGAGAATGATGTGTCAGTGAGGTTTAATGACATGAATGGACTTGAGATGACTGTTAGGGTTTGATTTGCTTCGTGTGTGTGTGTGTGTGTGTGTGTGTGTGTGTGTGTGTGTGTGGTGTGTGTGTGTGGTGTTTAGTTTAGCTTTAGTATCTCTCAGTGTCGCTTTTATTCTTCGCTGAACCGACAAGCGGAATCGCAAAAAAGTAGGAATGTTTTGGTCACAACCAAACAATGTGTCGTAAATCTGCCGACTGCGTGCGCTGGTGGCGGCGGTCGGACAGAGTTGGTGCTGTATCAGAGGTGGATGCCCCCCCCCCCCCGTGATGTGTGTCCTCCTCTGGGTGTGGAGGTTTGAGGAAAGGGATCCCTGCGTTCAGTTTCGATCGCTCTTAGAACATACATGGCGCACGTCCAACCTTTTTCCGTCCTTTTGGGGAAAGGGAGCTTCCCCCTCTTCTCCTCCGTCCCCTCCCCCCATCACCTCCTCTTCTCTGCTGCCTCCGCTCCTCATCCCAAATATCGCCTGTGTATGATTCGTCTCGCTTCATATAGCCAAACATCAGACAGGAAACAGCGCAGGAGGGGGTGGGGGGGGGAGTCTGCCAGCCTGATTCTGTCTCACCCACATCTTCTCCTCCTCTTTGATATTCATCTGCATCTTTATTAGCGAGGCAGACAATCGCGTCTGCAGAAACCCCGACTTTGGCCTACATTTTTTGAGGGGAACACTCTTCCCTGATCTTGTTTAAATCCACCATGTGAGGGATTTAGGGTTTTTTTGTCACATTGTTTACATCTCCCGCCTACACACTTTGCCTACATAGCAGGAACTTCAATCTGCGCCTTCCCCAGATTGGCAGATGGAAAGGGTTGGTGTTTGACATACCCTCAGACGGCCTTGCCTATGCCAAATCCCCAAGAGTGCGACTGACATGATTTAAGAAGCTTTTGTGCATTTCTTCTCTGCTTCAGCTGAGTCGCCTTTGAAATAGTTTTTTTTTTTCCTCCTCCCTCAGCCTTGCCCTCATTCCATGAATCTCATCGGCTCATCCTCATCTGCAGCGTCTCACCAAAACCTCTTTGAAAAAACCTGAATTTTCTCTACACGTTTGATCATTTTCCCAGCATCCACTCCGTCCGCAGTAAATAAATACTGGTGATGTGCAGTCGAGGTCTCTCTGTCTCCGCTCTGCTTATTTTATTTATCTCTGTGATCTGCCGTCTTTGTGATCTGGCTCCACGACACGGATCACAGATCAGGGTCTGTTTCTCTTCCCAGGACCAGGTGTACCCGGGGGAGGACGCTGCCAGACCAGATCATCTGCTCTTGCTCTATTAAAACCCAGATTGAGAGGGCAGATGCTCAACACCTCTAATCCCATTTCAGTTTGACAAGATCTAAAAGGATCAGGCCCGCGTTACCCTATAGACCGCTTTTGGAAATGAAGAGTTAATGCTGCAGCTCGTCGCCTAAACACGAAGCTGAAGTGATCAGACAAAACGCCGGCTGAAGAGACGCCGCAGCAGCCGGGGCGTCCCACTTAGGTTTTAAATGGAGCCTTTGTAGGAAGTGAACATAATTAACAGGGAACTCTCTTAATGGGGAATCCCACATTAGGCTGAAAACTTAAAGAAAAAATCAGTGTGTGGCACTCAGCGTGTAAAGTCTGCGTGTCCTGCGTTATCAGAAAGACATAAAAGGAGAGTTCTTAAACGCTGTGTCTGCTGAATTATTCATCCATCTTTTATTACACTTTACAATGACTCCGAGATGAAAGGAAAGACGAGAGGAGAAGCGGCTGAGAGCGAGATAGAGGAGTGGGGGCTTGTGGTATTGGCACGGCTGGCGTCTGCCGAGCGCTGGTATCTCCCGAGGGCAAATCGAGCGCCTTCCTCTCCTCCCGGTTTCCTGTTCGCTCTCATATCGGAGGAAAGCTGCGACCTTTGCCCGCCTCAGTAACGGAGGTGACATTGGTCCGATCTGAAAATCTCGCGCCATCGAACTCATCAAGATCTCATTACACACGAAAGCTTGTGGTTTCCGTCTCATGATTCGAGACACAAATAGGATTGTCGGGAGGTCTTTTCCTCCAGAAAGAGGGAGGCTGGGAGTTCGGTTAATAAAATGTGTCCCTGTGTTTTCTCTCCTCAGCTCCTTGGTTTTGTTGTTGGGAGACAGAGGCGCCTGACAGGAGACTGACTCCTCTTCAAGGATCATAACGAGAGCTGAAACCACAGGTGAGTGCGTGCATTACGCCGTCACGCACACAAAGAAACACTGATTCACAATGTGTACTTGAATCAATTCAGTTATCGGCTCCCAACCTTTTTCCTGAAGAGACCCTTTTTCTATCATTGCGTAAACTGACAACCCCTCACTAAGTTTATTTTATGTATATTCCATATTATATTCACTACTAACAATAACAGCAGAGAACAGCTGATAAACTCCACAATGAACACAAACAGTGAGATACACAATAACTGCAGGAAGTTTGTGTAAAAGAGAGATTTGGATGACTTTAGAGCAGATTATTTCCTGAATATTGATCCGAGACAAGTTTATATTTTATATTTATATACATATTTTTATACAATTCTCTGTTTGTGTTATGTATTTGCTCTATTATACAGACTTCTACAGATACAAGCTTCTTCTTTTTTGACAAATGCAGTGTTTTCTTCTCCCTGAGGCTCAGCCATTGTTCTGTTAGCTCTTTGGTTGTTTTACCTGCATACGTTTCTAAAGCAGGACGAGGCTGTTTACCAGAGACTGAAGGCTCTGTGAATATAGTTTGTGTTCAGCTCTTCAAAGTTCAGATCTTAAATAATAATTTAACAGAAATGAACATAAAGCAGAGACATCGGCCCACTGTACATATTGTTTAAGTCTTCTTACAACCCTCAAAATCACAGTCTCCCAGAGGCCGGGGTGATGATTGTTTTAGGGCTTTTTTTTCATTCTCAATCGCTTTTTAGTTGTTTTCCTGATTGATCAGTTATTTGTTTTGTCCAAAAATATCTTCCAGCTGCTTGTTTTTTCCTAAAAGCCTGTCCGAAACCAAAAGATCTTCAGTCTGTAAGGATATCAATCAGTAAAAAAAGCAGCAAGTCCTGACATTTAAGAAGGAGGTTCTTATTGTCATAAGAGTCCCAATCGACTATGTGATTGACTGACTGAGCTGAACAAGAACTGATGGTTGACTTGCTTTTGGTCACACTTCCCTGTTTGATTTCCTGATCAGACTCGTTGGTAGATACTTTCTCACTTCTCTGCAGTGTACACCCATGAAAAGTTAAACCGACCTTTGCAGCAGTCGCTGGTGGGTAATTTGTTTAAAAGACACCGTGGCCATTTATTTACAGTAGATGACATGTTAGTTTTCCTCTGGTGTCAAGTTGCTTATTTGTTTGCAGATGAATGCGCAGCAGTGTCCTCGCAGCTCACATTCTTCATGTACAGGTATCCATTTGAGAGTGAACAAAAGCACCCCATGCTCTCTTGGCTCCGAGGCCAACACATGATCCTCTCCGTTTTGTTCTGCGATTGGAGCTTTAAGCTGCGAGCGGCCGAGCCTCGCTGCACTTTGTTTACACTTGGCAATGTCGCGTTTAGTGGCCGCGCTTCTGAGGAGGGCGGATTTCCAAAAGCAGAAACGAAAGGCTCAGCGCTGACTGTGACCTCCTGCTCTTATCTGCATTTTTATTATCAGTTACAGAATCGTTTCTTTTATTCTCTGCTGTGTTTCTTTCTGTTTATAGACACAGAAAACAGAAACTTTCATTGCAAGCGTTCCGTCATGCAGAAAGGTGAACAGCAGACATTACACTCGCCCTTCCTCCCGCGATGGGTAGGACTGCACCGTACGATTATTTTCACTATTGATTGAAGTGACGGTTGCATTCTCGGTTGATCAATCAGTCGTTCGATCTATAAAATGTCAGAAAATAGTAACGAACGCTCTCCAACTTTGTCTCCAACAAAGATTACATCCAAATAAAAGCTCTGATTTCAGCAAATGTTGCTTAAAAAACTAAAATCATTTGTTTATTAAAATAGTTCCAGATTAATTTTCTGTCAGTCAACCAATCAATTAATCGACTAATAAGCAGCCAATGAGACCATTTTATTTGTTACTTTGCTGTTTTTCTTTTGTCTCTAGTTCCTCTCTTCCAAATCATTTGTTTAATCCTACAAATCTACGATGTTATTTGTCCATGAAACACTTTTTTTAGCTCATTTTTCTATTTTATTTAAAGTAAAAGAGTATTAAACAGCTGCAACAGTAAACCAAAACAAAATAATAATGAAAATAATAAAAATAAAGACAAGAAGTAAATATAAACAGAAAACAAAACAAGAAAAAGTAAGATCCTACATTTCCCATAATGCAACTGCACCGTGTCTTTCATCAGACCCTCTCTGCATCCTAAACGCTCCTTTCAATCTCCACGCCTCCAGTTTGTTACACACACTTTAAAATGTGAACCCGAGCCCCAAACTGACGTAACCCCGATGACATCACCGTGACATCATCGCAGTTTCCATGGTTACCTTAACTGTAGTCAATCAATCAATGTTACTGTGTCTCGGATCATAAACCGGAAAATAAACGTCTGGCATCATCGAATATTTTCAGACAAAAGTAAAGAGTTGGTTTTAAATTCCAGAAATTGTAATTAGATTATTTAGTTTAAAAGTAGTGGATTACAGTAACTCGTAACGTTAGTGTCACAGTGTTTAGTTCATTCAATCAACTAATCAATTAATCAATTAATGCATCAGTGATAAATAATCAGATTATATAAAAGTACATCCATCACTGGAGCCACTCATCTGCACTGACTTTAACATTTGATACTTTTACTTGTAATGGATTACTTTAACAGTTTTTACTGAAGCAAAGGCCCTGAATGCTTCCTCCAGCACTCAGCAGTGCAGCCACATTAGCTCTCTCTGTCTCTCCCTCCCTCCCTCCTCTCTGACAGCGGCTGTACGTCTGCCAGCCGAGCTCTGTGGAAGGAGCTCCCTGGCACTGGAGCCCCACTGGGGACACATTGACCCTCTCCTCTGCCCTGTCAATGAGCCTCTGTGTGCTCAGTCTCCGGCTCCGAGACCACCGCCATGATGACAGTGATGCAGTTTACAAAGCAGCTCTCTCTCTCTCTCTCTCTCTCTCTCTCTCTCTCTCTCTCTCTCTCTCTGTATCTGTCTCTTTGCTCCCCTCTCTGCCTTTCCAGTAATAATTCATTACATTAAGGCAAAGTGAGTTTATTTGTGTAGCACCTTTCAGCTCAGCCTGACCCTCCCCTAACCTTTCAACAACAGCTTAAAGTGCTGTACTCTGTACGTCAGCGATAAGACGAGATATAAAACAAACAAAACACAATATGTAAAGACTCATAAATTAGAGATGTTTTGTTAATGTCACAAACAGTGTCTGCTTTCTTTGTGCTATATGACTTTAAACTGGGCTAATCAAATCATTTAAAGAAGTCGTCGTTGACTTTGGGAAAATAAAACGAGATGATTCATAGATTCATCGAGGAAATAATCAGCAGGTGAACTGACAATGACAATAACAGTTAGTTGCAGCTGTTGATCGAACTCACAGTCCAGATGAAGCAGATTAACTTTGTGGTGCGAAACACATTTTGACTCTGACGGCGGCGGCGATGATCTGAGAGGTCTGAACGCTTCATAGCAGCAGATCAGAAACAGTGTTATCTTATCTTGCAAACATTTTTTTACCCGAGGTTCTTCTGTTGCCTGTGGTTGGTAGTTTGCCAAACATCTGTCTGAAGGACACAGAGTAGTGGGCGACTGATATATACGATGATATCTAAACAAAGGAAAGTAATTTATAATTCCATTATTCATTATGCTAAACTAGCTTCCGTGAGTTGGTGACGTGCACGATTACAAAAAAATGAATCCAGGGATGTGATTGGATGTGAGGTCTTGCTGCTGTCGGACAGGAAACAGACATCAGAAGCCGTCGGCCTGTCAGCTGTAAATGTTTCTGTGTTTTATTGAACCACCGGCTGTGTTTAAAGATCAGTTCTTCGACGGACAGGAAGCCGGTGCAAAGATGTGAGAACTGCAGTGATGTGTGATTAATAATGACTGAACCCCCTTCGTGCTCTTTGATCGGCTGCAGCAGGACTCGGATGCAGCGGTTGTTTTAGACGTGGAGGCCTGTTGGATTCTGGGTAAACGGGGACTCGGCTTGTTTTACGAGAGGCTTCTTTCTGGTGGCATTTTCAGCGAAGGCTCGTGACGTTCGCTCTGCACATGAAAGCAAACCACAGCGGCGGTTGCAGAACCACATTTTCATGTTATATTTAGCCTCACTTTTGTTGTCTTTCGGTCCACGCTGTAATTTCCATGTGAATGCAAACACACACACACACACACACACACACACACACACACACACACACACACACACACACACACAGAGAGAGATGTGTTTCTCTGCTCCGCTGCCCGGAGCTTTAAGGTGCATTAGTGAAGAGAAAAGCTGGTATTTATAACCCCTGTTCGTTCCTGTATCCAAGGTCAAACGGATGGCTAATATCTGCATCCGTTCCTAGATGGGCTGCATTGATCAGCCCTCCATTATACGTGGAGATCTGGCTGTGTGCAGTCAATCGCAGCTCAATAAGCTCCCTACACTGTGGATGGGGCTGCTCAGGTTTGTCAGTCAGCGTTCACAATCACACAGGCAGCGATGTTCGATAATCTTCCTGTAAACGCTTTGCAAACAGCTCCAGTTACACAAGGCCCGGCACCTCTCGCTGATTTCTGATGAAACTGTTGGAAGCTATTGAACTGTTCTCAGTATCGAGTATTACACTTAGTGTTTGTGTGCGTATTGTTTCTTTGAGTGCTGATACGATAACCTGTAAGAAAGCCAATGGGATTAATTTTCTGACTGTAGTGATTTATTTCATCGATTAAAATGCTGATTATTTTCTCAATTAATCGATTTATAGGTGAGAACAAGATTTGTAGGCCAGGGAACCTCTGCAGCTCTACGGTACTTCATTATAACGCTGTTTGTCACATTTTACCTTCATCAAAGGAAAAAATCTACATCTGCAGCCCAAATATATTCAGTTTCTGAGAAGCTGGAACCAGAGAAGGTTTAAAAAACATCTTAAATTATGAGTCGATTATATAAATTAGAGCTGCACGATAATCATCAGTTTTACAAAAGTTTAAGTTTTTGTATTTTAAGATGTTCCGGATATCGTGTTAGTGGACGAGAGCAGCTCCCTCACACAGGGAGAAAACAAGGGACAACAAGACACTAATAATTAATAAATTACATAAAAGAAAATTCACAGAATAACTTTATTTCAAATATTTACTCCATTCTTTGTAAACAATAACAACATGTGTGGTGGCTTCCACCTATTCCAGGCATTAGGAATAACTTTATAGGAAAGGCCAATCCTCTCTCTGGTGGGCTTGTTCCTTTATGTAGGTCAATAATAGACATCAGTATTAAATTGAGGCTGTTTCATAACCAGTTAAAGCTCCTTGTAAAGGCTAAGGCTGCATTTCTGTTATTGTTGATAAATCCCATAAAAAAGACCAAAGCCAACAATGTGTTTGTTTCTTAATGCTTGGCTTTCTGCCCCGAGATCATTCATTCCTGCTGAAGACGCACATCCTTAAAGCTGCTATAATCTATATTTATATACAATGGATGGGTCACATGACGGTGGTCACTTGTGGTGGTGAACCCACAGAGAATTATCACCTGACTCTGTGGTTCCCTTCGGCTCCACTGAGCTTTTTTTTTTGGCCTGTTTGAGCTCATTGTTTTGGTTTTTAAGGCACAACTTTAGGTTCATTCTCAGTGGAGCTCTGAGACAGAGGAAGAAGATACATGAGGCTTTAGATGATACCTGTTAGGAGGATCGATTCATTCCTAGTTTGGATCTTTTTGTGGGATTTAATGTCAATAAAAAATACAGGATATCAATAGGAAATGTCTCTAAAAAGCATTTTCAAGTGCTAAAACATATTAGAATTGAAGTTGCACCCGCCGCCCTCTGGATATTTGAATGTTTTTGAATGCATTTACACACGCACTGTGGTTTGTTTGTGTGTCACCTGTCCAAGTCAGGAAAGCTGTGCCAGTTCCTGATTGGCCTCCAGCCACAGAATCAGGCTCGTCTCATCCGCTCTAATGACTCCTTAAGATGTGACAGTTGGATCTGGGTCCACATCGACACACCTACTCCCCCCCACCCCCCCTCGCGGCCCTTCTATGCTCTAAACAAGCGGCACACGCACACCTGGAGTCGTGCCTACTAGACTGGTACCCGGCCATATGTCCTGCGGCGTGGCGTGCTCGCAGACTCGGGCAGCCTGTGTGCTCAGCGTGGTGCTGCTGTTTGATCTGTGGATCCGGTGGAGCTGCAGACCTTAAAGCAGAGCAGTACGGACACAAAGGCTTATCGTCCTACGCAGGCCGTGTATCTGAAACAATGCGGGACGGATGGATTAATGTGTTTGCTCAGTAATCCCCAATATAGAGTGCTGTAGGTGCCGTGACGTGGAGTCAACAGCGAGCTCTGCGGCGTGGTCTCTGTAGATGTGGACCGCGCGTGTTTGTGCTGAAGTGGTGCTGAAACGAAATGTTGTGGCCGTCAGATAAACAGAGTATAAACAGAGTGTAACAATGTTAACATCAGCGTCTGATGAGAAGCAGACCTCAGTTAACTGGCATCCCCCGGTGTTTGTTTTGGTTTGCTTGGAGAGGCAGACGGGTGGGGTTTACTGCAGCGGGACAAATCAAATACAGTCAGCTGGACCTGAGAGGATTAGTTCACAGAAATGATGCAAATACTCCAAACGTTTGCTGCTTTTATATGATTGTGAATGAAAGATCTTTATGGTTGTTTGGACTGTTGGTTGGACATTTAAAGACGTCACCTTGTGCTCTGAGAACTTAAAGGTCCAGTGTGAAACATTTAGGAGGATCTAGTGTCAGAAAAGGAATATAATATTCATCAGTATGTTTTCATTAGTGTTTAATCACCTGAATATAAGAATCATTGTGTTTTTGTTCCCTTAGAATGAGACATTTTTATCTACAGTAGCCTAGAACGGACAAACCAAACACTGGCTGTAAATAGGGCCTTTTGCATTTATTGCCACCGTAGTTTCTCCTCCACACTTCACAGCCTGTTTCGATTCTCAGACGCGAGCAGTGTTCAGTTAGTCCTACACACTGTACCTTTACCTTTTAACCTTCAGCATTTAAACAATTTGTGACATTGTTCTTGACACGAGAATCCCTCAATCAGCTATTTTAACTTTAACACTTCCCTGTGGTGGATGTGAGGAATATATCCTCACTTCACTGTTCAAAATCCTTTTTTCATCCCCAAACTTTTCCAGTTTCCTCTGAACATCGTCCTCTTACCGTTCACCAGACCAACACTGAGATGAGAGAAGCTCTGATTTCATTAAGATGTTGTTACTGTGTGCTCAAAGCAGCGAGCTTCAGAGGCAGCAGAGAGTGCCTAGTGGGCTCATTTTGCCCTGGGTTTCACCTCTCAGGCTACATAAAGGCTCCTCTATGTGTTTGTTGTGTTTGCTGGAGGTTGTTGAGCCATAATTAGAAAACGAATTTAAAGGTCCAGTGTGAAACATTGAGGAGGATCTATTGGCAGAAATGTGATATAATATTCATAGGTATGTTTTTATTAGTGTATAATCACCTGATATATGAATCATTGTGCTTTCGTTACTTTAGAATGAGCTGTTTCATATCTACAGCCCACCATGTCTCTACAGTAGCCCAGAAGGGACAAACCAAACTAGCTCCAAATAGGGCCTTTTTAGTGTTTTTCACCAGATTCACAGCAACTCTAAATCCAAAACTCTGGTTCTTTAAGTTTATAAGATAAAACTTTTCTTGAATGACTCCTCAAACACTAAAAAGAAGGATCGATCCCCTTGTTTCAACCATCTGCATTACTGAAACTACTCCATCACTTTGTTCCAATCATGAGGTTGCTGCTTCGATGGGTCTTTGTGCCATGAAGACCTTTTTCACAGCAGCCATTTTCACATTAAATAGTAAGCCTGTGTGGGAAGAGGAGGTTGAAGCCTAAATCCTACACACAGGGACTTAATGTCAGTAATGTGCGGTTACCTTCCAGAGCGACTGACGTTCATTGCTGTGCTTTATTCAGAGTGTCTGACGGCTGCGGTGTCGCCTCCTGTGTTTCAGATGAGAACAATGTCTGATGAGACAGAACAGAGAATGTGTGACGAGGACTTCGGTTCGGACGAGGAGGGCGAGGAGGGAGACGTGGAGTCGTACCTGGAAGACAACAGCAGCGAGCTCGTCGACCGACTGAGAGAGCTGGAGGTGAGAAAACAAATAAAACTCACTGTATGGACTTTCTGCCACTTCCCTCAGTGTTCATGGTTCAGGAGGTTTCTACCGGGAGCCCAGTTATCCACAGAGGAAGCTTTTTTTCTAGCTGATTTTATTTGTTTGTTGTTAGACCAATGCAGCTATATTTTTGGTCGATGTTGGCAGGGCAATTACACAAGACATGACATGACACAAGGAAAAACATAATAAACTAAATAACTATTGCCTGCAATGTGTTTTATTGTTATTTACCTTTTCCTCACAGGCAGAAAACTCTGCTCTGATGTTGGCAAATGAGAGTCAGAGAGAAGCTTATGAGAGATGCTTGGATGAGGTGAGTTCATGATGCAGAATATTCTGCTCGGATTACGTCATTCCAGGAGGAAAATGTGTGAAATATATAATAAAAATATAATGTTTTCTTGTGTTTATTAGGTGGCCAACCACGTGGTCCAAGCTCTGCTAAATCAGAAGGTAACACAATGCCCCATTTCTGCGTCTGTGTGTGGGTTTTAAACTGTAGAGTCACAAACTGAACTCAGTTATTTTACTCTGTGTGTGTGTGTGTGTGTGTGTTTGAACAGGATCTGAGAGAGGAGTGCATTAAGCTGAAGATGTTGGTGTTTGACCTGGAGAGACAGAACAGAGCGCTTTGTGAGCTCTTTCAGCAGAAACTGCCCAACCACCCCACTGCTCACTACCAGGTAAACCGACTTCCTCTGCAGCGATCCATGAATGGGTTTCATACATTCTCAACTTCCTCCACCTCGGTGTTCAGACCCTGTACTCCTGAAACAGACAGAGGAAGTTTTTCATAGCTCTACGAACAGTTAGAGGACTTATTTTTGTGTCCACACCGCAGGAACTAGGAATGAGAACGCTCAAGTATACAGTGTTTTCTTTTTACTTTGCTGTTGTATTTCCTCTAAAAAAAATATTTTGTTTTCCCGCCATAAAACTATAATAAGATAACGTTAAAGTCAGTGTTCTTCTCTCAGCCTCGCTAAATATGAAGTACTGCCAGTTGTTGCCGGAGTTTCCCCCATTTTTAGCTCCCCTTCAGTTTGCTCTTTCATTGAACCCCACGACACAACAACCAACACGCAGCTCCGACCACGTCGCCCTCCACCTTGTTGTACTGCTGTCATCGATGTTGTGTAGAAGTGATGTTGCTGTTCAAACCGCCAGCCGGCTTATCGTTCCTATTGGCTTTGCGAGCGGAAACAGGAAAAAAAAAAGCCCTCGAAGGTTTCTCGGGGAGCTCCAGAGAACAGTTACTGAAAGGCAAAATCCTCTGATGTTACACATCAAAGTTTACAGTAGCTGGTGAGTGTTACTGCATATGTGAAAAAGTTTGTGGCTCCACAGGGAGCTGCATGGAGTCTGATAAATGTCAGAGCTGAAGGAGCCGTTACAGGGACTGTAATAAACACAAAGCAGATCCCACCGCTCTGGTTGCATTAAAAAAAGTAAGCTTTCCTAAAATTATTTTAATTAAATTGCAATGTATCGCCTTGCTGACATCATCGCGATATATTGAACCGTAACTCCTGTATCGTGATACGTATCGTACTGTCTGATTCTTGCTGATACACAGCCTTAGCCACGCCTGGTAGATTTTGGCTGTGAGTCCTTGGTTCGATTTCAACCCGAGGTCTTTTCTGCATGTCATCCCCTCCCTCTCTGCCCTGCCTCTCTCTCCCTCCAGCTATCACTATCTAATAAAACAGAAATACAGGAAAATATACAATATTTTCTGTGGAGTAAAAGCATAAAATAGCATAACATGGAAATTCCTTAAATAAAGCATTTAAAAAATGTACTCAAGTACAGTCCTTGCGTACACAGCTCTGATTCTCAAACCCAGATGGAGCTGCTCATTTCTTTCCTCATTCTTTCAAACGCTGGCAAGCCAGTAATGGATCTCAGTCTTTTCGCTTCTGCTCTATATTGTTCCAACAGATGCCGGGACAATGTAGCTCCTAGTTGTCTGTGTATACAATAGCCTGTAGTGTATACAGTGTCATCATAATTGCCTCATGAATCTTCTGTTACAGGTCCAGGCGGGACCACTCCCAGACTACAATGCACAGCTGCACAATGACTCTGCCAAACAGGTGGAGCCGGCACAGACTGAAGCACAAGCCAAGGTGATTATTACGAAGCCCACGCAGCAAAGCTTTACCAAACATTAAGAGTGAAACAGCGGGATTATGTCATAGCCTCTGAATCAGTCCCCACCTGTGTGTGACATGTTCTGACATTTGCTCTGTTTTACACTATTGTGCTTTAAAAAGACCTCTGCAGCTAATCTACACTGCACTCATTTCCTGTACGCACACGCTCTAAAGGTCCGTAGGAGCTGAATTGTTTGGCTCTCAGTGAATTGTATGCTGATAGAGATCTCTTTCTTTCCAAAGGGAAATGGCTACCGCACACAACATGCCTCCCCGGGCCCTCGTGGCCCCGCCGCCTCCATGGAGGCCTTGTCTCCCTTCTTCAAGAAGAAAGCACACATCCTGGAGGTCCTCCGCAAGATGGAGGAGACGGACCCTCTGAAGTTCCACCCGTCCACCACGAGCTTGTCTTTCTGCGACTACAGCCAGGTGCTCATGTCCACAGAGGCTGTTCTGGCCACTGCGGACCCCCTCCCGCTACAGTGCAAAACCCACCACACACACTGCCACTGCTCCTGCTCTGACGCTGACACACACCAGCATGTCAACGGCGACGGGGCGGTAAAGTGTGAGGCTGGGAACACCTGCTGTTTACACTGCAAGAGGAGCCCAGACAGTCCTCCAAAGCCATGCAACCACGTCTGTAGTCCTTTAAAAGCCAACTCCGCCACCCAGAGCCATGTAGTTCCTGCAGCTGCTATAAGCGAATGTCACAGTAAGAGCAGAACGGTGGAGTCTGTTCCCCCGTCTAAACAATGCACCAAGAATGAAGCCCACCAGCAACCAGCAGGCGCCACCGCCCACTCCTTAATCACAGAAACCGCAGAACAGAGCCTGGAGGTGATGGGAGGGGAGCAAGAGCAGGATATCTCTGAGAGTCTTAACGCTGCTGCCCCTGAAGAGCTCACTGGGTTCAGTTCTGTGAAGGACAGCACACAGATCTCCCACTGTGACATAGAGACAAGTGATGGCGTTCACAACGGCTTAGCCTCCATCAACGCCATGTCGAATGACCCCTCAGCCGCCCCCGAGAAAGACAGCACAGATCAGGAGGCTTCCTCTGTGAGAGCCGGAGCCTCCGTCAGCCCCAGCCCCTCCTGCCTCAGCGACGTCAAAGCCGCCGCCATCAACTCCCCGTCCAAACTGCTCAAGTTCCTGAAGATAGGCGAGAAGTCTCAGCCTTCAACCGCCGCCGTCCGTCTGAGCCCCCAGCTCACCCGCAGCTCCAGGATCCCCTGTCGCACAAACAACTACGAGGTGTACCACTCGCCTGTTCCCACACGCAGAGCCACCACCACAGAGAGGTGCCGGCAGCCCCCGCCACCGCCCTCTAGGTCGGAGTCGTACCCCGCCACACACTCGGCCCCAACCTCCCCTCCGCAGCCTGAAGACGTCTGCTCCCCGCCCGCTAAGGAAATAAGCTACAGCAGCCTCTCTGCGCCTAAAGCCAACGCTGGCTCCAAGGTTGGCGCTCCTTCCTCCTCGCCCAAAGTATCTCAGAGGGTCCCTCATTATGAAAACGTCTGTAATATGTCCACAAGCTCTAGAGAGGAGGAGCCAACCCAGGGCCTCGAGAAAAGAACCACACTTCCATCCCAAACAAAGGCAAACAGTGGTGAAAGGAAGCTTGTTAAATCGCTACCAGAAAGCGTCCTCAACCCCCCTCCTCAGCGAAAGCAGTCATCCTCGTCCACATCGGAGTCCACATCAGATGATGAAGAGGATTCAGACAGCCCAGTGTGGGTTAACCATCACAGCCTGCCCAACTCTGCCCTCAGCAAGGCTCAGGGCAGAGTTAACTACTCCCAACCCAGAGAGAAACAGGAGGCCGATGTAAGAGAGATCCCTGTGCAGAGCTCGGGGGCTGCCCAGCCGCTGCCGCCCCTCCTCCCCCGCCAGGAGGAGCGACTCCTCTTCCATCCCCAAGAGGCCTGTGGCCGGGGTGGTGAGACCCCCGGCCGATTCCAGTCACCACGCTTTCAAAGACAGGCTGGCTGCGCTGGGCAAGCTGAGGAGCTCTGAGGATTTACAAGTCGGTCTCAGGCCGGTGGACGCGGTCAATGAGGGCACCTACGGGGAAGAAAGGAGTAAGACAGCGGAGAGGCCCGTGGAGCTCCATAAGGAGGAGCAGAGACATTCAAAATACACAGACTCTTTGGATGGTAAAGTAAAAGGTGGTGGTGGTGGTTTGAAGTACCCGGGTTCATCGCATGCGTACGAACAGGCAGTAAAATCTCAGCCGCCGGTTCCAGTGGTGGTCAAACAAGAACTGTGTGTGACCAAGACTGAAGGCTCCAAAAGCAAAATAGGTCTGCCGTCCCCCAACGCAGACGCTCCGCAGGTACTACGCAACAACATCAAGTGTCCTGGCTCCCTGAATCTGGCCTACAACCTTAAACCAGGTGTCGGTCCTCACAGTAGCAACAGCCCCAACAAAATCCCCCCAAAGTCGCCGTCCAAACCTTGCCAGGGTCCGTCCGTCCACAGAGGGGGGAAGCCCCCCGAGGCCCCGCGTTACTCGTCCAAATCAGAGGAGAGGACCAAGATCGGCGGGAAAGGGAAGAAGAATCCGATGTACGGAGACAGCCTGCCGCCTCCTCCCCCGAGACCTCCCACGTCTGAGGGGGAGAAGCCGCTGCAGCCGGTCCCCAGCCCGCAATCCGCCATCGAGCAGAAGGTCATGAAGGGCATCGAGGAGAACATGCTGAAGCTGCAGGAGCAGGACAGAGGAGGGCAGAGCACCGAGGTGAAGCAGAAAGCCTCCAACGGCATCGCGAGCTGGTTCGGCCTGAAGAAGAGCAAGCTGCCCGCGCTGAGCCGCAAGGCCGACGCGACCAAAGCAAAAGACGAGAAGAAGGAGTGGAAGATCAACATCCCCTCAGTGGGCAGGGACTCTGTGAAAATGGCCACCAGGTGTAAAGAAGGAGTGGAAGGTCTGAACATCTCGACTCTGATGGAGAAGGCGGAGGGGCTGAGGAGGGCCCTGGAGGAGGAGAGGGCGTACGTGGAGAGGTCGGGCAGGGGTCACTCCTGTGAGGTGGTGATGGACCAAGCTCAGGGACAGCTGGCTGTCATGTACAGAGGAGCGCGCTCGGACAACTTCATGCAGCAGCTGCTGAACAGGTGAGACTGTAAGGGTGGTGGAATAACGGATCGCAGCTTTAAAGGAATAGTTTGACATTTTGGGGAAAAGGCTTATTCGCAGAAAGATTAATTAATTAATGAATTCCACTCTCATGTGATGTGTTTAAGTGACTTTTTAAGCAAAAGTGCCCAAATTTGCCAGATTATTTTTGGGGGTTTTAAACTTAATATCTTCTGGTTTTGCACTGGAGAACAAGACATGACCTTTTTCACTGTTTTCGAACATTTAATGAAGCAAAGGATTAATGAAGAATGAATTACTCTCTCATTAGCTGTGACTCTAAAACAGATCAATAAAATGTGCAGTAATAAGAGTAATCAGCACTCCTTACAACACATTGTATTTAACATGTTAATATTTCAGTAGCCAGGGTGGTTGCTATGAAGCTACAGAAAGAAGACTGTTGGCTTAGCATAGCATAATGACTGTAAACAGGGGGGAACAGCTAGCCTGTAGTGATTCTTTCCAGATCTGCTTTATAAAATCTTGTTGAAATATCACATTGGTGTGTGAATGGAAATGAATTAGCAGACAAAATGACAAAATAAGAGATTAAAAAAAAAGAAACTGGTGGAATCAGTATTGAACTTTTAGAGGGGAAAGTACGGTGGAGGAAAATAAATCAACGTTAAACACTCAAAAAGTAAAGTAATGGGGAGAAGTAGGGAAACCCATGCATCCTGGAACACCTGGAAAGTAAGAGTCTGGTTTTCCAGTCATGGAAAAATATATAATAATGGGTTGGAAGATGAAGGTTTTACTTGATTTAAAGAGTTATTTACGCTGCGCTGAGGCCGCCGCTGTGGTGAGTGTCTCACAAAGACAGACCACCATTGTGAACAAGTCCTGTCCTAAAACTCCTGGAAAATGTCCTGGAAAAGTCCTTGAAAGTGGAAACCCTGATTTACCGCACATGCAGTGTCCATCAAGTGTGTTTCCCACAGTGAACTATTATTTCAAAGGACACTAACTCTATTTCTGACGTGTGTTTGATAAACGTAGAGTGGACGGGAAGGACGTGATCAGCGTGCCCCAGCGCCGGCTCTCGTTCGACTGCAAGTCGTCCAAACCGGTGTTCAGTCAGCAGAGCGACCTCATCAGTCACACCAGCAGCCGCGACGATATGGAGAAGGTTGGTTACTGACACTATTTCTACATTTACATTTATTCATCGCACCGACTTTCAACCCAAACTCGGCTTCTAATTTGTTAGTTTCCTTCATATCGATGTGAAGAGCTGAGTCTAACGCTCACTCCTCCGTCTGCCGCTCTGTTGTTCTTTTCATGCAGGGATCAGACAGACTCGGCAAGATCACGTCAGATGAAAACCTCGCCGATTCGGTTCACTCTCAGCACTTCGCAGGTAAGACGAGTCTGCCGGGAGAGAAGTCTCACGCATCTTTTTAAGGCTTCCAACCTCGCGGGAGATCAAACCAGACTTATGTGGAACTAGTCTGGAAATAGATGAATGAATGTATAAAGAATTTCACAGAGAGAGCGAGAAGTAAGGAAATTACTCAGATAAAGCAACATGACTTAGAGTTGTCTGTTTAAACATTTATTTCCACATCAGTCCCTCACTGAATCCCTCTTCTCGCCTCCCTCTGCAGGTTCTGGTGCTTCCACGTACACCCTTGACAGCGGCATCGGTACGTTCCCCCTGCCCGACTGCAGCAGCGGCGCAGCGGGACGCAGCCTGTCCAAGACGAGGGCCGGGGCCGAGCACCACTCCTCGGGCTCCCCGGGGAGGGCCGGTCGACGGGCCCGCACCCTGGACAGAGAGCTGACGTCGCAGGAGGAGTGCTACGTCCCTCACAAACAACTGATCCCCACCATTCAGTACGGCTCCATGCTGGAGGGGAGGAGCTCCGCCGCCGTCATCCGCGAAGGTGACAACGAGCCGCCTCACTCACACACGAGTTATAAACCATGCTGCTGAATCTCTCTGGTTTAAAGTTTAGATTTTCTACGTCGGCCCCTCTCTTCATTCAGTTTGGAGCTCTCTCGACCGTCGCTGCTCTCTCTCTTGCCAGTGATTTTATAATGAACCAAAGTTTAAGGAAGTAGAAAAGTTGAACCATCCACAAACTCCTGATGATGAAGATGTCTTTAATCCATCTGCAGATAAAGAGGCTCACGGGCCGAACATGTTTTCCCCTCGCTCGAAGACTTGGACCTTCCCCAACCTGAAGACTCCGGCAGGACCTGCAGAGGTTTACCTGGCAGTGGAGGAGGAAGAGGAGGAGCCGGTGCCCTTCGGATCACCGTTCAGAGGGGTAGGGATGGCAAATCCCAACACACAATAATACAGAGAACACACAGGAGGAACAGTTATTATTATTAACAGTGACACTTGTGTTCATTAAGGATGTCTGATAATTATCAGGGCAGATAAATTGTGTTTATTATTATGAATTAATTAAATTACAGCCAGTAAATTACTAGTAATTATGTACAGTGATTGATAGGCTTTATGTTGTATAAAAGTATGTTTGTAAAGTGTAAACTATGAATGTGAGTACAGCTCTGATATAATGTGTGTGTGTGTAAGGAACCTAATACTTTACAGGAGAATGTAAAGAGGGTTTTTCTGGGTCACTTACAGACTGAAAATACTTTGCTTTGAGATCCATTTTTAAATCTGCACTCACATCTTACATAATGTAAAAAAACACAGAACCACATTCTCCCTTTACAAATTATTAATCAGCTGAATATTAAAGATTCACAGTTGGATGATTTCTGTAACCCACTTCTTTTTTTTCTTTGCACCTGAAGGCGTTACATAAGATGACCTCAAATGTTTCTGCGTCCTTTCAGAGCATGAAGGCCGGCGGTCCTTCCTCCAGCCGGGTGGTGGACCCGGGCAGCCTGCCCGTCCCCGCCCAGTCCGGGATGAGCCGCAGGGGAAAGACTCGCACCCCCAGCGTCCCCGAGATGAGCCGGGAGGCCGGGCTGGAGCTGCTCAGGGAGCGGCCGGAGGAAGCCCTCTCCCCGAGCCGCCCTCAGGTCCTGGAGACGCCCGAGTCGCTCAGCGATTCTCTGTACGACAGTCTGTCGTCCTGCGGCAGCCAAGGATGATCCAGCCAACGGACGAGGGGAGGACAGGATGCTCATGTAGTCCACAGACAGTTAGACCCAGCTCCGCTCTGAACACGTCTCCTGGTTCGCCGGCTGTACCGCGATGCTGCTGACACCCGCCGCCACCTTTTTGAGGAAAAGAAACTGTCCCCCCCCCCCCGCCCCCTCTCATCAGCTGATTCTCCATTGCAACTGGAAAGATAGATCGATAGACTTCTCCTCAGGATTCCCAATAAACATGAAGCCAAAAGCCACCAGAATAATATAGGTTGTTCACTTTTTCACCATCAGACTCGACTGTGGACACTTCTCTTTCATTCATGTATACAGGACTACAAAAAACGCATGGCTAAGCTAATGGTTAGCACAAACAGTTGTCACTCCCGGTAGTTGCTCAGCAACCTGTCTTTTGTTTTTCTCATCCTGGTAGACGGAGCAGCGAGGCTGGAGCTGATCAGTACTGTACTGTATCAATACATCCGTTCTCATCGTTTCACCACACAGTGTATTGAGAAAAAAAAAACTAAAACATGGAGCTCCTTAAAAAAATGAATGTTCATGTCTGTGATTCTTTATTGCTAAAAACTCATCACGATTTTAAATGTACAAACGATTTTATTGATCATGTTGATATTGTTTTGCGACCGAGGAAGGTTGTCAGAATATGTCTGTTTTAAATCATAATACATTTAAAGGTAATATATACCAGCAATAATAACATAGATAAGAGAAATGGCTACACTATTCAATGAATATGTATTTCTATTATTTATTTATTTTTAATGTACATCATCTTTTTTTTTTTTTTATCTTTCTGTGAAAATTGCAGTCCTCCTCGCTTAGTAGATTATGTTCATATCTTGTATTTCCACATCTCTGTTGCTGTTCGTTCCCTAGCCAATAGAGGTCCTATGTACCTACTGCCGTTTTACAACTTTCTAATTAAAATGTTTTGATTTAATTCGTCGTGTGAAGTCGTTCCTGTGAACCTGAATGCTGTTTATTACACTCCCAGAACGATGTAAAGGATCAAAACAGACCAGAGATATCGCTTTTTGTTGGTTTTTTGTGGTCATAAGCTGCTGCCTACATTACCCACAATGCAACTCAACCACCAACAGTTTGGTAATTATCAGTAATAATAATGATCCAATTATATAAGAGAAATATGCGGATCAAGAGCCATTTTCTGCAGTATTGCTAATAATACACTTGAAGACTTTATTTAAGTGACATTTTTAGGGCTTCAGATAAAGATTATTTTCAGTATCAATTATATTCTGATTATATTTTTAATTAGTGACATTAATTTGTTTACATTAATATGACAAAGAAAAGCACGTTTGAGAAGCTGGAACCAGCAAATGTTTCACAACTGTGTTTGAAAAATGACTAAAATCATAAATTGATTATGAAAATATGATTCCCAGATTACTTTTCTAATGTCTTACCATTTTAAATGCAGAACTATTACCTGTAATTGAGTATTTTATTTACAGGTATTACTACTTTAACTTAATTAAAGCAATAAATATGCGGATCACTTTGTTTCAATACGTTCAACACATTTATTTGAGCAAATGTATCAAATTATTAGTTTCAATTTTACATCAATAAAATAAATTCTTCACAGTATACACTTTCAAAAAATTGCAAAGGTTAACATCATTTGGCAAACTAATTTCTAGACAACAGATATTTAGAGAAATTTACACTGGGAGAGGTCTGAATAATTCGCCTCGCTTTGCTATCCGAGTTGAAAATTTGTGGACAGATGGCGTCGACTCTTCCTCCCTCACCAGCCAAAAGTCCAAAATCCCGACCACCGGGTGGCTGCATCCGCCTAAATGAGCTAGTGTTGATCATCATGAGCCCGACAGGCCTTCACGGTGGGTGTCAGGGATACCAGGCTTCACCATTCCTACTCGAAACGTTGGTCACAAAACAAAATTTGTGGGAACAAAACATCTACGGGGAGGAGGAGGAGGAGGGAGAGGAGGATCTGTTGTCAAACTCATGGGACCCCATTTATTGTGACACTTCACTAAAAAAAGGAACCAAGGAAAACTATAAATAAGCAAATCAAATGACTGAAATTACATAACTTCAAATAAAACAATGATCAGTCTGAGAAGCTCACGTGACCCACTAAAAAGAAAGAAAAGGAGCCTATAATGTCATTAATTTATGGCACTAAATGACAGTAATATGAAACTCTTCTGCTCAGCTTCTTCATAGGGCAACGCTCCCCTCTACAGGCCAAGCATGTTCACTGCAGCATTAGTCTATTCTCCATTCACAGCCATGATGGGAACTAGCATTAGTTTACCATAAACTTACATTCAACCCTTGTAAGTTTAAAACAAAAGAAAAAAGAAAATTAAATCAAAAGAATTTCTCAATAATATAAGACCACATAGGAGTTAATTCAATAAATGAAGACAGAAAGTGAGAAGCACCAAGTGCGTTGCAAATTGTGCCTTTTCTGACAAGATTGGTTTTAATTCTCAGCCACTCAAACTTTCTTTACTTCTTCTCCTTCTTCTTGTCCTGAAACAGAGACACACAATCAGAATTACACACACACACACACACACATATCACCCCCATGCTGATAGATTAAAACAACATGTGCTGATCTCAGATTCTTCAGGAAAAGTACAAACACAGCAGAGTAAAAACTCTCCGCTGCACAAGTATTTTGTACAACAGCTTCAAAGTCATGTTGATGCGAGTTGCAACCGGACGAAGGCTTCCTCTTACACTATGTACAGTTTGGTTTCGGGTCTTATGGATCATATTTTATGGTGCAAACGTTTCCTGGTTGCCCTGTGGGGAATTTACAGAGTGAAGGGGTAGCCAACAGGACTGAGTGCCACTGGGGGGGGGGTTTCTGGAGAGATATGTTACTGTTGTTATTTAAATGTCCTTTTGCTTTCTCATTGTTCTGTCGACCACAAACTGAATTCCCCTCGCCACCGTCGTCTCAGATATCTAAAAACCTCAGCAAATGAAACCAAAAGTATCTGCACGGAGAGATTCTGCTCGAGCTCAATCAGAAAATATGTCGGGTTTTATTTGTGATTTGGGCCGAGCACACAGTTTCAGTTAAAGGCTGAAGTTATGTATCTGAAAGAGCAGCTGAGGTTCTTGTGGGAACGTTGGGAATATCTTGTGTTTCATTGTCAACAAATCCCACGAAAACAGCAAAACAGACATTCTATTCTTATTTATAAAAAGTTTAATTATGATTTAAGATGTAAACCTTGAAGAACATAAACTATATTCAGAGCCTTCACTGTCTGATAAACAGCCTCGTCCTGCTTTAGTACAGTCCGCAGTTAAAACAACCAGATTGTTAGAAGTTGTAAATAAACCTCCTGCAGTTATTGTGTTACAGTTTAAGAGTTATTCTCTAAGGTTATTGTTATGAACTGAATATAATATGAAATATCTATAAAATGTGTCACTTAGTTTACTTAATGATAGAGGAGGTCTCTTGAAGATAAAGGTTGGGAACCGCTGTGTTACTGAGGATCTCCAGTGTCCGCCTGTGTGGTTTGAATCATATCTGAACCTCGATGAAGCTCTGTGGCTTCGAATAAACACACAATACTCGTTAGCATTGTTCCATTGTTGGTTTTTGTCTCCTCGTTGGATTTGTTGACAATAAGAAAAAAAAAAATACAGAAACTTTTCTTTTAAAAAGAGACGAATTCAGAACAATCAGTACCTTATCGTTCATGGCGAGGATGACCATCAGTTTCCTGAAGATGGTGATGAAGTCAAGGAACAAGTCCACACAGTGCCTTCAAAACAAAACAAACAAACAAACAATGTCAAGTTTGTTTCAGAATCGTCACATATGCTCATTATTAAATATCTCAAAATCCCCATTTATTTATTTACTGTTTGTTTTAAACCCATTAGTGCCGTCTGCTATTGTTTATCTATCTCTATCTATCTCTCTATCTCAATAATTTTCCCCTAAAGGCTGAGCTTATGTAAAAGTCAAACGTATCTGAACAAGTCTGCTCTTATTTTGAAGGGCGTGATGCGAGGAGGATGGATTTGCGTAGCGTTTGGTTATGAGAAGGTGCGAGCTGACAAATGAGGATTAAAAGGTGCTCACCAGACGTAGTCCTTGTCTCCGTTCTCCGCTTTCTCGATGATGAGCTGAGTGTCAAACAGGACGAAGCCGCACATGATGAGCAGCCCGAGGTACATGTGTGCCTGTCGGAAGAGACGCACAAAGAAATGATGAGGCTGAAACGGTTCACGCGGCGCTCATCGAAAGGTTCAGAGCGGAGCGGGTCGGCTACCTTAAAGAGCATCACGGATCCAAAGAACATGTTCATCACAGACATCAGGAACAGGAGGGACAGGCCAGACATCAGAGTGCCTGAGGAGAGTGAGGAGTTATGTTTGGAGGTTAATTAAAACATGAGAAATTCTGCATAATGGCCAAAAACTGGGTGCAATTTAAAGTCTCCAAGATTTCAATTCAAATAAATGTCTGTTAAGTCTACGTCTGAATGAGGAAACACGACGGAGATGAACTATTTATATTGAAAAACTGCTGTTTTATGTTACTGCAAACATTTCCCACTGCTGCAACTTCACATTAAAAGCATTTAAAGGTCCAGTGTGTAACATTTAGGAGGCTCTGTTGGCATATAACAGGCATAGGTATGTTTCCATTAGTGTATAATCACCTGAATAAGCTGATGAATTGTGTTTTTGTTACATTAGAATGAGCTGTTTTTATCTACAGACACTGTGGGTCGTCTTAAATGGAGTTCGCCATGTTGAACCGCCGTGTTTCTACAGTAGCCCACAAAGGACAAACAACAAACTGGCATTTTTCACCACGGCCATTTTCTGCATTTCGTGCAGCGAGTTACGGAACAAGAAGCCACAGTGAGCTGTCGGATGTCGAGGTTCAGACGATGGGCTGCACACAACTTGTGAGGTAACTAACTACTTCCTCTATCACTGTGTGCAGACTCATGCAGCATTAAATTAGACCACAGTTGCTCAAAGAATGATGGAAAAAAAAGCTCATTATTGCCCGACTTCTTCATTAAAATGACCTGTAACGTTAGTATTTGCTGTTCGCCACCAATCAGCCAGGACTGGACCATAGAGGATTGACACTTTTAAGTCTTGTGTGTTAGTTGTTGAGGATTTTACAGTCTCACACGATAAACAAACTGCCTTTACCTCCCAGGAACAGGTAGCTCCTGCGTTTGGCATAGAGAGCGCTGAGAGTGAAGCAGATGAAGATGGCGGAGGTTCCCATGAAAGCCGTCACAATGATGCTGAGGAGAAACACACCAGAACAGATTAAGACTCTTTCAGTAAATGAACAACAGTCAGACGGCTCCCAGTCACTCTCCTCATCTGTTGTTTAGTTTTAAAATCAATGATTCATGGTTATAATGTTTAACTTGTACTCATCTACCTGTTAGTCCCTTATGCGCAGATGTTTAACAGTGAGTAACCTTTCACATACCTCGGATTGACAGCGATGACAAAGTCCAGTGTGGGGCCCAGGCCAACACCTGGAGAGGGAGAGAGGAAGGCAAACACCGCTTTTAGACTCTTACATCACCCCCCCAAGACAGCTCTGCTCACATGCAAACTGACAACACTTCTTGCAGCATGCCCACAACACCGCCACTTTACCTGTGAGGAAGGCAAATCCTGCGAGGATAGCCAGTCTCTTCCTCTCCGTCTCAGGGTTGTGTGGCGTCATGGCGAGCCAAAACATCATCCCCAAGGAGCCGAGCACAGAGAGCACGCCGCCCTGAGGACGAGGGCGGGAGGTAAAGAGAGGGCAATACTACGGCATCCAAAACCTTTCACGAGCTCGGGCGCAGAGACGTTAAAACAGAAAACGTCCTTCCAGACAAATAAAGTTCTGTCTTATCTCAACTCTTTTATCTTTTGGTGATTCTGATTGAAATTACTTGTACATTGAGCCGTGCTACATGTGAAGTCTTTCATCCATAACACATTCAGTATCTTATCAACCGAGAACAACAATAGTGAATGCTGATAGAAACAATCATCTCAAGCTCTGAGTATTAGGCAGCAGAGTATTCTACGCATGCAGTGTGTTTAACTCTCTTTCATTGTCCTCTACAGGCACGTACACTGTTATCACATCAAACATGGACGGAGGTGAATGAGCCACAACGCATGTGTTCAGTGTCTGAGTGGAAGAATTTAAACTTAACCCGACTTCAGGGTTTCCCACAGTGTTTTAGAATGGAGCTCTATCTCGCCTAAAATAAAAACTACCTCCGCTAAAACCCTAAAAACAAATAAAAATACACTTTTCTAAAATTAAACATTAACCTTCAGCAGAGAAAATACCATTTATTTAACTGTTCCCAATACTGTATAATGTTATTGTAAATTCATATTAAACTGCAGTAGATAGTTTGAACCGCCAGGAACCTGAACGTCACACACAAGCTCAGGTTAGATAAGATCGTCTGTGCTTCTCATTTGCATCGATGTAAACCTGCACAGGTAAGACTCGTCGGCGATACCTGAAAGAGGCGTGTGACGACATGGACGTAGGAGCCGGCGGCAGCCACAAACATACAGACTGCCAGGCTGGAGTACACATTCTTCAAGTGCACCTGGGTGGAATGAGATCTGCAAGAATACAAACAGATAACAGTGAGCACGATGGAAACAAAGTGCGCGAGGAATCACAGGAATCTGCTCACGTACATTTGGGATAACTTGAAGAGGGCGTCGATGTTGATGCTGCGGTCAAACACATTCATGGTGGAAACCCGGAGGGGGGGGGAGGAGGAGGCGTAGAGATCTGAAGAGATTCTTGAATGGACAATGTCTCCGCTGAAGAGAAAACACATGTGATTAACGCTCAGAAATCCAGACTATTATACAACCAACAGCTATTTTCAACTGTCATAATCTGCTTTCACGGGTAGCACACGCAGCTCAGTACATTTGCTCCAGTTGGAATACAGTTTAGGTGTTTTACTCTACGTGGGGAAGTAGAAGCCAACTATCGCCATGTTTTATTCTCCCGTCCAGTCTTCCAGCAATACCGCACTTAAATAAACAAAGTTATGGACAGTGTAAACTTCATTTGGAGCCAGAACAACTATTATAACACCACAGCTGCTCTCTCAACAAAATAATACATATTCTCTTTAGACGTTTAAGAATAACAGCGCTTTGAGCAGATGATTAAATAACACACAGCTGAAACCAGAACCACCACAGCTTAGTGTAGGAACACAATTCATGAAGTTTATAAAACGGATGAATCCTGAATCAGAAGATTAGGGATCTTGTTAATCTGTTTGACACGAGAGATAGAAGTATAGTTAGTATAATAAAATAAAAGTTATATACTTTGAGATAATCCCTGAGTTAAGCCTATTTTAACAGGATACTACTACAGCAGCAATATCAAAAGTAGAATAATATAATAATAAAACACAGACTGCATTAACGTTAGATAGAATAAAAACTTTTATATATGTTGTTATTGTTTATGCATCTTTATGGAAGTAAAACCGTGTAAGACTGTTTTAGTGATTTAAATAACGCTACAGCTTCAGGAGAAGTTAAATAAAGTTAGTTTATTTATATATGGAGGGGAAACTACCTCATTAAATTACACAACAGGTTATCTCTAAATGTCAGGCGTTAACTATTACATCGTGTCTCTGATTCACTTTACACACAAACCGCTGTTGCAGTCGTTCGCTGGCAACACTAACCCGCTGAATTCATAAATAAATATGTTAAAAACCCAGAACCCCTCCTGAGTTTGACGCATGTGAGGATCTTATTAACAGCTAACGTTGCTAACCAGCAGCGTTTAAGCGCTAACGGACGAACAGCCTGGCGAAGCTAACGTTGGCTAGCTGTCAACACAGTTCGACGCCTCGTCCATTAAATCGGCGGATAACGTCGCTAATGTTCCAGCTAGCTTTAATAATATACACCGAGAACACGCGTAGAGTGCGATAATATAACGTACGTACCTCGTAGCTTTCCTATCTGTCGCTCAGCTTTCTGTTTTCACTGCCTTTCTTCTTCCTGCTTTACTTTTTTTTTCCTTTCAACAAAACAGAACGCTAATTTTTCTGTTCCAAGGGTGGCGAAGTCATGCCCCGCCCTACTCGGCCTCTGATTGGCTAGAATGCGTCGCCTTCATTGGTCTGGTTGGTTGGATTTAGGCGTGATGCGTAAGAATGTGAGGTGTGAGCCAATCAGAAGCAGAGGAGGGCGGCTTATGACTTCGCCGTCCTGGGCGAGAAAAAAAAAAACCCCATATATCGTAAACAGTACGTGTCAGTCAGCTCACATGATGTCACCATGGAAACGCCCAGAAAGTTGTAGTCCCGATACCCGCGGGTAAAATAAAACAATACAGCGATTACCCGCGTCTTTAATCCACACACATAAACAAATCGTCTATTTTATAATTACTGTGCGTTAAACCGATGTTGTTATTATTTAAAGAAGAACTCGGGACATTAAAAGGCCCTTCCTGGTGTCACCGAGTAATGTCCCCGGTACACCTAAAATGGCCGACTCATAAACCTGGCCGCACCGTAATAAACGTTCACAGCGAAGACAACCTGTCTGTCGCAACGTTTGCAGACAGACAGCGACCACATGTTCAATAAATATAAAAACAAAGAGCCCACTAACATGTTCCTGAAGTAAACACAAAGCTGATGCAAACTCACATACATACAGGAGTGTGGGTATCGATCGATATCCGATCAATATGACGCATATATGGTGCAACGGCATGCAATGCGTTTAAAATAATACATTTTACATCAACTTTAAAGTTTTAATCTTTATTTATTAGCCTTATAAACGTTAAATACATGTATGTAAAATGAGTATCTGTTAATGCACTCTCGGTTTTATTTAGTAAAAAGAAACAATACCACAATGTAAATATACAAACTTTAATTTAGTACAAAAGTATTAACAATTAAATGTACCCAAAGTAAAAGTAATTATGCAGAATAACCCTTTTCATATTTAATTATGAACAAATTAATAATTTAATTAAACTGTTAAAGGGTGGTTGCCCTCATGACATGTAATAAATCACTTTAATGTCTTAATGTGAAGAATTACAGCTGTCAGATAAATGTAATAAAGTATAACAGCTCCCTCAGAAGTGTGATGCAGTAGATGTATATATATATATCTTAGTTGTTAAGCACAGAGCTGTGTGTGTAAAAATAAATATTGCTAAATATATTTTGAGTGGCCAAATGTTGGACATGTTCATGTGTGCGAGTAAAGATGGTTAAAAAAAAGACGTGATAGAAGTTGATCCTGCAGCATATTTAAAACTAAAGAGACGCTCAATAGTTTTATAAGCGGGCATACAGCAAAAGTAGTTGTATACATTCAGACTAATGAAGTGTCCTTTAGTGTCACAGTGGAGAAAAACACACACAAAAAGTACAATATAACCAATTTTTATTTTAAAATAAAAACTGGTAGCACCTTGTCTTTTTAGAGTTTTGGTCAGATCAGGTAGACAAAATGAGTTTTTGATTTATTCTGATACACAAAGACAAATTGTGACTGTCTAAACAAATACTTTTGGTCATCACAACTGGTACAAATTCATTGTCATTCACTAGTTAACATGCAGGCAATAATTGCATCAGACATTAAAACATCATAGGAAAACCATATTACCCAGGAAACAAACCCCAACGAAATATCTGTTGTACTGAATTAAAATGGAAAGGAAAAAAAAAATAACACATCTTGCATGATTGAATCTCGGACTTACATGTATATTTGTTTGATTTTAACTGCGCAAGTTTTTGAATTATCAATGAACTTTTGACAGCAAAATGTTATTTAGGCACAGATAAAGAGTTAAAACACAAGGCCAGCCTCAAAGTAGGCAAATGGATTACAATACAAAAATGTTTAAGAAGCATTAAGAAGTACTGGACAATACAGGTTGTTGGTTTTTTTTGGCCAATAAATATAGAAAACAAAACGCTCACACATGCTAAAAAAATCAAATTTGATATTTTCAAGTGTTGCACTGCAAGTACCAGAGCCACATGGCATTACACTTGCTCTTGACAGTGTTTTCTCACGCTCAGCATGACACATCAGACTGTGTAGGCCTACAAATCTCTTTTCAGGCAGAACACCATTCTCTGTCCGAATTTCAAAAAGGCACAGTTTGTTTTTGTTTGTTTTTTTTACTTTCAGCACTGTCAATGTAAAACAAGTGCAAGTTGTTTGTCATATATAGTAAGAAAAAGAGAAGACATCGTAAGAAATTAACTATTATTAAAACCTTGACTGAAAACTGTGGCATTTATGGCCGTCCTATGTGCCAACATACTCCAGTGTGTCTGCTTTCAACTGACCATCAAAGACAAGATTTCACCGTGTTTACTTAACTTATAACCAGTATATCAAATAGCAATCTGACCACAAGTGATGTATATTTGCATGTTTTTTTGTAGAAATTATGTTTATAGTACAAATAAGTAAAATACACTTTTTGTTTTGCTGCTCATTTACAGGAAAATAAGGCTACAGTAATGTTTACATCTGCTGAATGCAATTATTGACTGGCTACTTAGGAGGTACTGTCCATGTCATTACACAACTGGGTTGCATAGAAGAACCATGTTCACCGTTTAAAAATAGATTTCCTTATAAAAAACAACCTATAAAAAGAAATCAATAAATGTATAAAATCTGGTGGAAATTTCAAAAAAGAGCTGTTTTTTTTTTTTTTTTTTCTGTTGTTGTTGTTCCTTAAAAGGCACAATCATTTAAAAAAAAAAAAAAAAACAATGTCCAAAAGTCAAGTCAGGGCAGGCAGGCTTCTGCTTTGGCAAAAGAACCACGTTTAATATTCATACTAACTGGAGTGATTGTGATGGGACTGCTTTGGTTGTTGTCTCCCGCTCTTTCTCATGGTGCTTTCAAATAGTGGTTGTCAATAATGTCAGCACTGAGGTTCAGAGGAAAGGCCTCAGATTGCAATCTATAGTTTCGTTTGAGCCAAACACATTGTGTTTTCCAGGCTCGGAATTTCCTTAAAAAACGGCCGTGATAATACAATTTTTCTAAACAGAGGATTTTGTGCAGCGGCTAGCAGAGCAGCGTCTGAGAACTCTAGCATCTATTCTCAGCGGACGCTTCTATCGGAGCTGAAGAGGTTTCAAGCCGGAGCTCTAACAGGAGCCGAGCAGGTCCACTGAGAGCTCATTGTCCACGAAGCTGGTCCAGCCGGGTGTAAACATTATCAGCTTGACTAAGTTCTTCAAACACAGGCAGAAGGTTGAGCAGCTCGGCGTCGTCCACGTCGTCAAACCATGACACCACAGGAACCTGACGAACACAGACTCAGTCACAAACTGCTTTTATGCACCTCAGATTCACACATACAAACTGCACCTGGAAGCACATACAGTTCTGTTTCAGTTCTGTTTCAGCAATCGGCCCTAAATGTAGATTTCCACAAATCTGGATTAGAACTAGAAAATCATTCAGCAACTATTCTGAAAATCGACAGATCGTTTTAGTTGATTTTCAAGCAAAAATGCAAAGAAATTCTTCTCAGCTGTGAGAATTTGTTGCTTTTCTTTGTCACATACGAGACTAAACTGAATGTTTTTGGATTTTAAACTGCTGGTAGGACAAAACGGGGCATCTGCTGGTGTCACCTCTGACTTTATAATTATAATGTGCCACTTTACAAACAATAAATCCAAAATCTGCAGATTTCTCAGTGAAGAAAATAATAATTAGTTGCAGCCTTGACACTTTAAAACAATGAATATCTCTCAAAACATCAAGAACTAAATCGACTTATCTTAGCAATTTTCCAACTACTCATAATATGTATAAGTATCATTCTGTAAAAGCTAATCTCACACTGTCAGGCTTTAGTACACACAAGTTATCCTCTGCACAATGCTTCCGTCCCACAGTGTCCAGGCCTCTGAGAGTGTGACGAGGCAGCGGTCTAACAACGGGCGCCACATGTTTTGAATGATGGGAAACTCACAGCATTATTAGGGTGGAAGATGTAGGAGGCAGGAGAGTTATCCAGGATGAGGGTTTTGTGGAGGTCTCTGCCCAGGCGGCTCAAATCTTTGACATAGCAGCCCTGGTGGAATACACAAGATTCCCGGAATAACCGGGTCCGGAATACCCCACAATGATCCAGCAGGTCCGTCACTGGGTCTGCATACTGGAGGAGGCCGAGGGGGGGCGGGGGGGAGGGAGAGGGAAAAGCAGGGATGTGTAAGGTTGGACTAACTTTCTACTAACGGTGGACACTCTGACAGCAGATAGAAGCAGCCTCAACACAACTAAAATCTGCTCGTCTGACGGCTGCACCAGGTACTCGTGAATCCTTTATGTCTCAGAGTCTACGAGCTCCGCTGCGTCTGGGCTGCGGCAATTAAATCTGGTCCTGGATTCAACTTGTACAGTGAGATCCACCAGTGCACAGACACTGAGGAGGGACTTTACAGTGAAGGAGGAAACGTAAGAAATGAACAAAATGTGCATATTTATAGACTCCTATCATAGTTTTTAATGAGAGAGAAGGAGTAAATGACTTTTTTAAGGATTTAAATGAGAAAATGTTACTTTCTTTTGTTAAAAAAACATATCAGACTATTTGTATATATGTCTTAATACATAATTAATATGTCTGGATGGGATCTTAAAGGAAGTCACTGTAGCATCACAAGCTCTAAGACTGAGACTGAGAGGGAAATATAAGATTATACTGACTTAAGATGAGTTATTAACTAGTTTAATTCTTATTAGCATAACGTTTGGTAATCAGAGGGACATAACGTTGTGCTTTTGTTAAAGTTATTCCAAATCTACCCAGTTTACATCCCATACAGTATCCGGTCAGATATGTCGACCATATATCTTCAGTATAGCTTTGTCAGCTGGTTGGTAGCTACGTAGCAGTTGTATCTGGAAGTTTGTACGTGTAAATATTTAGTACAACACATTTTAGTTTCATTAGGCGTAAATCTCCACTACTTATTTCAAACCCTGAAGTTGTTTATTCACCGTCAATAAACTTCAGCTCCTTTGTTACTAGGTCTCAGATCCACTGTTATCACTGGACAGTTCTGGACACAGTTTCCCGTCATATGGAACAGCTTTTCTGCTTCACTTCGCAGTCACGCCCCAATTCAGATTTTTTTGAAAGACCTGAAACAACGTCTCTTGACAGAGTTCAGTATCTTGTAAACGAGGTATGATACAGTGTTAATATATGTTATTGTTTTCATTGTTTTTATTTCTGTTTCTTCCTTGGTATTTTAATTTAACATTTCCTGTTGCTGGAAATTGTATTTTCTTCTCTTTTTTTTCTAGATATTTAAAAGAATAGGTCTATAAATTAGACATACACAACTATCTTTACTTTCAGTGTTGGCTGGGTTCCTCCGGGTGTTTATTTCGTCCCCTCTGTGCATTTTCTTACATTGTTTGTATATTTCATTCTCTTTAGTTTATTTGACTACATGCACAAATAAAGAACAAGTACCTGCGTTATAACTGGGTTAACGTTTGAACGTATGCGGCGCTGGTGCAACCGGTTCCAGACGAGCACAGAAACAAACTACTGCTTTAAACGTGAGGAGGGAGCGTCTATTGAAGTGACTAACAGCATGTTAAGCAGCTGCTATCACAGCGAGAGGAGAACTATGAAGGCGAGAGAGAGAGAGAGAGAGAGAGAGCGAGAGAGAGAGAGAGAAAGAGAGCAGAACAGGATCTGATAGATCAGACATTACATCAAACTCGGTGCTGAATAAAAGATGAATATCTATTTCAGTATCTGATGTGAAGTACCTTAGCGAGACTGGCTGTAAACAGCACACATTCAAACAACTCTCCCATCCTCTGCAGGAACTCATCCACATACGGCCTCTTCAGTACATACACCTGTGGAAGAAAGACAGAGCGTCAGGAAGCATGTCTTAACCTACAGGACTGCCATTTAAAATGTCTTTACGTTTGTGCCGTCGACTTATTATTTCCATCCGTTTTGCTGCTAACGGCCGGTTCCTGAAACAAGTAATCAAGAATAGGCCGTGCCAGTGTTAACCAGCCTATCCTGGATTACTTGAACCAGGCAGAGGCCCACAGAGGACTGCGTACCAGCACATGGGGTCCCGGGAATCACATTTCCTCAGTTAATTACATTTCCACATGTCCACCAGTGAGACGCTCTACACCCAGGTTGAACAAACGGTCCCGGTGCACTGAACATATTTTCTAAAATCTTCTCAGAGGCAGTGGTATGTACTGTCTCACTTATTAATGAAGTTTTTTTAGATGAACTGTGCAGAAGTGACTCATTTTCTTGCTGATGCATCCACTTCCAACTGCACACTCCCTGTTCAACATCTGGTCAGTAGAGGGCTCCGTGCGCCCGTCACAGCAGCAAAAAAAAAAAAAAAAAAAAAAAACCTGGCTGATCAGTTACAAAACCCATCCCTTTTCAGCTCAGCAACCCCTGCAAACACATCAACATACACACACACACACACACAAACACAGCCCCCCACCTCCCCTCTATGGCAAACACACGCTCACACACAGCACACGGTAGTTTACCTGGTGTGTGGTCCCCTCTATCTCCACAGGCACGATGAAGTCTGCATTACTAATAGGCTGGAGGGAGAACACACAGAGGGAGATGGTTGGCATGCCCCGTTTCACATGAGCCGCGCTGTGTACATTCACATGGCATTACATAACAACTGAACACTGGACACTTAGAACCAGACTCTCCACGCCGGTTGCCATAAATCACAAAGCACAGCCTGCACAAACAGAATATAATCCACTTGATGTTCCTTCAACACGTGTGATGGTGTTCGTGAAGAATCTCTAATGCAGATTATTAAACAATCGCAGCAGGAATGAGCCCGATACACCTCTGCTGTAAGCTGCCTTTATGTGCATATAAGCTAAATACACAAACAGTCATTTACTTGATTCCTGGTGAATCGGAAGAAGCTTTCACTCAGACTGAAATAAAGTCACAAGCTGCGTGGTCAAACAACAATGCTCGTCCTTCAGAGCCTGGAGCACATTTATCATTTAACGTGTTTGTCTGAGTTGTTTATTATCTTTTTGTCAAGAGGAATGCCTTCTCTTTTTACTGCGAACCAAACCTACCTGTGGGTACAAATAACCTTGAACTAAACACATTTAAATAAGGTTTAACATGCTAGCATTGACAAAGAGAAGAATACGTTTTGGTACCTTGAATGAGCTGTGCACCAGGGTCTCATCCAGGTCTATGACCACACATATCTTCCCTTGGTCCTGGGCATTCACCTCAGGCAGGAGGCTGTGTTCATATTGCTGAGGAGACACACAAACACTTGTTTTAATGCTACTGTCCACACACACACACACACCTATATAATTTGTCTTGTCTGTGCTAGGTTTATAGCTAAGCAGCATGATTAGTCCCAATAGTACAGTGATTCCATGACCATTTGAGTTTACCTCTGGGAAATTAGATAAGAGAGAGTTTTAGACGGGGGGTGTACGTGTGGATGAGCTTCTTTATTTACTGTAACAGCTTCTATCTTTAGGATTAGCATATTTATTCTTTCATTATACTTCCCAAAAGCGTCTCTACGGGGATCCACCAGCGGGGAGAACACATTACCTTGATGTGATCTCATTTCTAGATATCCAGTTTTCTCCCTTTATTAATTTTGTTTCTTTCCAGGCTCTTTCTGAGCACAGTAAACTGACATTAATTATTAATATATTACATAACGTAAATAGCTTATTCCAATCGAAGGAGGCGAATTAAGACTGAGAAAGAAAACATCCACGAGCAACAACAATCTTCTTTCATCAACTGAACAATAAACCCGATGCCACACAACCCCATCGACGCAACCCTTTTAATTCAGTTTCATTTCAGCGGGAGCCTGCGAGACAATAACCAGGCCCTACAGATGCTGCTTCCTGTTTGCTCCTGATGCTGGAGGACACTCCTCAATGTGAGCAAACATGGCATCTCATTAAAATGCCCCTTTACATGGTAGTGAAGCTCTAATCAGGCTGACAGCGTTCACCAGCGTGGCCGGCCGTGTGCAGCAGGCGCTCCAGGCTTTTTTTTTTTTTTTTTTTTCTCCACCTCAGCAATTACGAGGCACACAATACACCGCTCTGTGCTCGCTCGCGCCTTTAGGGCCGATAGTCGCTCTGTCGCTCTTATCTTCCTCAGAGGATCGATTGTGAACATCAAAGTGATTCCATATCCACAGACAGTTGCGGTTAGCTTTCAAGATGTTCAGAGCAGGTGCAGTCGTGGTTTTAGTGTGCAGTTGTAAAAAAAAAAAAAAAAAAAAATAATGCTTGAAGGCAATAATAAGAACATTTTTACAACAGTGTGTTTGGTTTATTCCTACAGATGGCCAAACTACTCAAACACTTCTTTTATGGCACGCTGTGTGTGTGTGTGTGTGTGTGTGTGTGTGTGTGTGTGTGTGTGTGCGTGGGTGCGACAAGGAAGTAAAAAAAATCTTAAATAAACAAAAATAAAGGCAGGACTGAGCTGAGGTCTTTAAATGGTTTTCAGCCGTGTGAAATGTTGCTGGAAATAAGAATAGTGTTACCTTGACAACCGTCCCATTTTCCTGTGACTCCAGCAAGGCCTGCTGGGAAGGTGGCGGTAGTGGTGGCGGTGGTTTGGGGCCATCCTGAGCTTGGAGGCAACAGAAGAGCGCTTTGAAGATGTTACAACTCCGAGGCTGTTTCAGGGCAGACCGGCTCACCTGGCCTGGTTCGGCACACAGAGAGAGAGAAAGAGAGACTTTCATGAGGAAACCGAGTTAAACTGCATGTCGTCAACATGGAAATACTAAGTGGGGGCCTCGAATCACACGCCACAACTCACACCACCTACCCGTAATGTGACCTTTTTTTTTTTATTCTTTATTCCACACTCAAAACAATTCTTGCAAGAAATACATAAATTAAATTAAATCATATATGTTATCCCATAAAGGAAATTCAGCATGATAAAGTATGAGCTGCTTTAAACATGTAAAACGAGCCCCCCCCTCTTTTTTTTCCTAAAAAAAAAAAGGCACCATCCCATCTGTCCACAGGGATGGCACAGTCCCGCACATGAAATCTGTTTTTAATGCGCCTGCCTCTGCCGCCGCCGCCGCCGCTGCTGCTGGAAATGGCTGGTACATGTTATATAATCACAGAGGGCGGGAAAACCCACACTTTTCAGCAGCAGTACCTTCAACAGAAAACACAGACAGAAAACATTCCAACCATTTTAAAACTTCCAGGACATTTCAGGACTGCCTGAAAGCTAGCCAGAACAGGCAGTGAGTCAGTCACACCTCGGTTGCTGTGTGCAGGTCTTTGATCAGTCACTGTGACGATGAGTGTCCCAGCCCCGTACCACACTTGTGCCGTAGTCAAAGAAAAAGGGAGGAAAAACATTCCTGCGAGTCTCCTCTGGTGCGTTTCATGTGAGGGCTTGCAGATAGATAGGAGGATTTATACCCATCGATACGGCACAACACAAACTCGCCGAGCCCCCTCACTCGAAAGAGGAACTGTTGATAAACAGGCCAAAGTGTGTGTGTGTGTGTGTGTGTGTGTGTGTGGTTCACACTTTCTTCTAACCTCCGGTGTCCACGCCGACCCTCGGAGCTCTGAAGACATAACGCAAGACACAGCAATGCCCATGTTACACAACACATGTTTAAAGAGACAAAGGACACTGGAGCTCTGATTTGTCCTCCATTACTCCCGCACACTTTTTCTTTAAATATACATATTTCAAGGCTCAATAATCAATACAATCCACCATGATTTGTATCCTGCTAATGTGGGATCCAATCAGTGTAAGTCAGCATATTGATTTCCCCACAGGAAGACAGTAATGGCCAATGTATGACATAACACATACATTATCCCTCCTGCACGTTAAATCTGTGATACACAAACTCTAACCTATCAGAAAACAAACAAAGATAATAACAAAAACAACATTATTATCATTATCTTGACCCCCAGTACCTGCAGCCGCACAGTATGCACAATAACAACAAGTAAACAGTGAGTGAGAATCAATGAGCAGAGCCTCTCACGGCTCAAGGGAAAAGCGTGCAAACAACGAAATCTTTCAAACGGCGCTACAATGGGGCGTGTGCAAGAGGGGTGTGTTTGTGCATTCCGCTGTCAACACCGCGGCACCTGGTATTTCTATACAGCCCCCCCCCATGTTAATCCACTCCAGCCCCCCCCCCCCTTTACACCCACCAGCCAGCCTATGATGTGCATTATGTTTTAATACAGAGCCACGCTGTTTGTTTGTCTAATCAAATACATGCAAACATGAGGAACAGTGCAGCAGTCTTCCTTTAATGCCGCGCAATGATCTGTGACCCCCCCCCCCCCCCTCCCTTATCCTCTTCCTCCTCCATCCATCCTCCTCTTCCTCCTCCAAGAATATGAACAATAACAGTTAATACATGAACACAACAGCTCGGTTTCCACGGTGCTGCCTGTGGTGACAGACGGGCTCCTCCGTGCTGGTGTACCTGGTTGTAGTAGAGGTTTATGGGATGGCTGCCAAACAACCTGATCGACATATACATACAGGGTTTGGAGAGCTGGCCATGGATCACCAGCACCACCAGAAACACCACTGGGGGGGTTGGGGGGGGCTCAGTGAAGATAATCACAACACCACATGTTAAGAAGCGATAGAGATTTGCACAATAAGAGCACCGACTGCACACAAAAAACAGGATCAACAATAGCTAAGCCCTGGATGGCAAACCTAGTGCGTAATGGAGCCTGTGAACTTATATCTGAGCCTGTATTTAAACCGTGAAACAATAAAAACAATAACAATAACAAGTCTTATAATATTTGTTTTATTCTAACAGTTATTTCCTCTTTATGTTTATTCCAAAAACAACTAAAGCTGCAGCTTCCAGGCAATATTCCTCTACTAAACAGGCTCATTGTGTTTTTTTCATGCTATATTTTGCAGGATTTTAATGTTATTAAATATAAATATTAAAGAGGAGAGGGGAGGGGGGGGGCAATGCGCCTCAACCCGCGTCCGCAGCGCGCAACTGTCAAATGGGCGCACTCCTCTCAAACACCATCCCCACACAGAAAAACAACATATTAATCCACATACAAACACACACGATGCTGCAAACACACACCGGGGGGGGGGGTTCTTCCTCACCTGTTTTCGGTGACACTTGAACGTCTTCTTTCTGCACTTGGGTGATAACAGAACTTTCCATCTGACAATCACGGAGCCCTCAAAATCCTCAAATCCTGTCCCCGAGCACTGATGGGCATCCCTCATTGGGCTTTTATTGACAAGTGGACTCAATTATTCACCGAGGTATCACTTGTCATCCGTCCTCGGTGGTGGTTTTACTCTTGTGTTCCTGGGTTTTCTTTATTCCCTCCAACCTCCAACCAACCGCCGCTCCTCTTCTTCTTCTTTTCCGATGGTCCGCCTGGGGAGGGGGCAAGGCACTTAGGATATGTTGTTTTTGTTGTTTTTTTAAAGAGGCTATTAAAGTCCGCTCTCTCTGTGTGTGTTTCCTTTTTTTTTTTTTTAAACCGATATTATTCCTGGTTAATATCGCCGAGCAGCCTCCCCCTCTCCTTCCTTCTCTCTTCCCGTCGCTGCGAAGTCTTCACTCTTGCAGCAACAACATGGAGAATCCAGGCGAGAGAAGGAAAACAACCGAGGAAATGGGGCAAGGGAGGGCGGTTTCAAGCCCCCCTTTACTACAGATAAACAACACCGCCGGGGAAAGACGTCGGAGAGCGGCGGGAAAACACCGAAAATAGCTCGCCGGGGCCGGTTTCGATGCGATAAAACGGATTCCCGTGCCCGGTTGGACGTAAAATAAGAGTTTTGTCGCTATCCGGGGCTTTGTTTTTCTACGGTTGGGACTCCGCGGGCGCCTTGAAACCGTCGCCGCTCGCTGATTGGGCGGCCGGGAAGGACGAGGGGGCGTGGCCAAGGCATTCCTCCCCAGCGCCGCACGCACCGCGCAGGACACATTCCACCGCTGCTGCTCGTACAAACGATGAGATCACGTTGTTTGTAAATTAGTGGTAGTGGGGGGGCGGAAAATAAACAAACAAATACTCAACAGAGACAGACAATATGTTGTGTATTCTTTTATTTTATTTCAACCTTTTTTTTTCCCTTTGCTGTCATTGAGTAAACTGGCTGTGTTTTATTGGTGTTTTATGTTATATTAAATGCAATAATGATAAGATTAAATGCAATAATGATAAGTTTAGAGCAACTGTTAAACTGTAACAATGGACACACACATTGGGCCCGATAACCGCAGGAAGTTTGTGTAAAATTAGTCATTTTGAGCAGATTATTTCCTGTTAATTTCTGATATTTTTCTCTTAACTTTTAAAGTTATTCTCTGTCTGTGTTATATAATTCATTTTTTTTTTTTTTTTTACCAATGATACAGGCTTATTCTTGGACACATGCATTGTTTTCTTCTCATTGTTCTATTAGCTCTTTGGTTGTTTGAACTTATACAGGACGAGGCTATGTTCAGCTCTTCAACGTTTACATCTTAAATAATAATCTAAACTTTAAAAATAACAATACACTTTACATTAAGTTTTTTTCACAGAAATGCTGAGATATAGACCTACTGTGTATATTTTTTAAGTTATCAAGAAGGCCTGGCGAACCCCTGTGATGCTTTGGTGACCCCTACTGGGGGTCTCCACCTCCAGGTTGGGAACCACTACCCTAGAACGTTATTCGTTTGTTTTCTGTCTTTATATTTTATTTTTTTACAAATATATTCATATATTGTTTGTAGTCTGCATCTCTTGTGTTGTTTACTGTTATCTAACTTTAATAAATGTATCAAATGAGGTGCAGATTGGTGATATTAGTAAATTCTAAGCCAAAATAATGCAAAGATTAACTCCAAAAAACTTCTTTATGGTTGCCTGTAATGTTTCATACTTGGATTATTGTCCAGAAGTTGCCAGTTTCGTGTTTTCCTGCTACTGTAGGGTTATTTGCAAACCTAAAATCTGCATTTTTTATGTGTATCATGAGGTCTTAAGGATTAATAAATATTAATAAAACACATGCAGCTCACAGTAGTGCATTAATGATAGTATAAATGTTTCTGATACATTTATAACCATAAGTAGTTAAACTAAATGCAGAAGTTCATGGTATCTGCCCCTGAGTAGTACTTTATGTGTGAGGGTAACAGAGGGCAGAGTGAAACCAATGACCCAGGCTCCTTTCATTTTCTCTCTGCTTTTGCTTCCCTTTACTGACACAGTAAACAGTAAAATGAAACTAACTTGTTTTGCCTGAAAACTGCTGGGGGACTTCTGTGTTGTGGCAATCGCACAACATTCGTCTCTAACGCAGTTATTCTTCCACTAGACAGCTGGTCATCCACATTACACGCCGGTTGCATCATGTAAAAGCATCATAAGTCTGTAAATGCTTAAACTAGTCATTATTTAGGTCTAAATCCAGAAGTTAATCAGAAAAAAACACACACACAAACAGTTGCTGTTTCTATTGTTTTTAATTAAAATAAGTTGCACTCAGCTGCAAATAAATCCTCAGTATTTTACAATCAGTTTTTCTTTTTCTGAGCAACCAGAACTGAAACACATTGATTTTACCTTGTTCAAATAAACAGTTTGACATCATGTTAGGTAATGTGGTCGACCGGTGGGTCCCCAGATATTTATATTTACAGCTCGGAGCCTCTGCAGCGCCTCCTCATCCTCAGAGAGTTTAGAAAACCCTCAGAGTAAATCGCAGTGATCGTCCTGCTGCAACGCACGCTGAGCAACTGGGAACTGGAACTCAACATATTTGCTTTATTTAAGCACCTCAAACACACACATGTGAACAATGCAGGGGAAGCTGCGTGCATCCACGAGACCCATTACGGAGAGAAAACAATAAAATAAAACGTGTTAATAAAGGAATAACTGCACAGTTGAAGCAGTCCGTCTCCCTGCTCCAAACACATGTGGGCCCATTACACCGCAGGCTCAGCCAGTGCCCACAGTGGCCACAATGCAAGACATAAACAAGAATGGGCCCGCTGTTAGCATTCCTGGTGTCGGACATTTTAAGGCAGCACTGACAGATCTGGGTAAAAATATATACAAAATAAGTACGGGCCGCACAGCTGGAAAATGTCATGTGGTTTACAGCTGATGCCACTGTTTACTAAATCAAAATTCATTATCTTTGCCTGCGCTCTGGTGCGTCTTGCCTTTCTCCTCCTGGTAATGTTGTCTGTGCATTCCTCTGAGACACAGACAGACAGACGGACAGACAGACAGACGGACGGACAGAAAGAAAAGAGCAAAGGGGCCAACTGGTGTTGAGGCCCTGAGCCGAGTGTTGAGGGCGCTGCAGTAGTACCCCTGGAAAATCTGTCCAAAACATGTGACTTCAGACATCAGATACAAGTTAAAGCTCCATCCGTCTTTCAACTACAGCGCAGGCACGTAAAAAACAACACAAGGTTAAAGGGGGGGGGATAAATCACTTTGTCACAGTGAAAACCCAGAGAGTGAAAGTAAAGGAAGACATAAGGCACAATGTGATTATTCTTAAATAATCCTGACGTACAGTTTCCTTCAATCTCATGTTGTGGTTTATTGTGTTTAATCAGTTCGTCTGTTTGTTTACAATTCAATAACGCCTTTAATGGTTTTTCTAAACACAGCTCATTAAATCAGTCCGTTCTGGTGAGCCGCAGTAATAAAACAACACGGTGCTTTCTGCTGTAACAAATGTCTCAAGGATATCTTCTGCAAAAAAAGAAATAAATCAGGTTACAGGTCATCCACCGGCACGTTACAGCAGATACACAAACACTGTTAGCGTTATAATGAGGACAAACGATCCTCAACAAGTTATACTGCAGAGTGAAATGTTCTCTCTCACACACACACACACACACACACACACACACTGCATCCATCAGGCTGTGCTTCTATTTCTACAGTTCACACCTGGGAATCCTCAGCGTCTTCTTACAGCCTCATGCACTCTGCCATGCATTAGCTACATCCAATCATGTTGATGACAAACTAGCTGTTGAAATGTGCTTGCAGCATCTGAGCCTCATGTAGGGCTGGGACTGTAGGGTCTACAATCATGTGATTTGCTGGAAGAGCCCCCCCCCCTCCCCTCCCGCTGTCTCTCCCTCCCCTCCCACCTTGCAGGCCTGCCCCTCAGTGGCCTCTGCTAGGCTATGTTTCCAGGAAAGGGGCCTACTGGACAGGCTGTGAGGCCTAGGCAGGGAGACATTGGCTCATTGAGAAAAACAAAAACAGAGAGGGGCGGTGGGAAGACTCTCGCCTCTTACATAACTCTCCCTCCATGACAGGGAGAGAGAAAAAAAAAGTTCCCCGCCACAATGCAAAGAAAAACCTGTCCATCCGCCTCTCCTCGGTGAGCAAAGGCTGAAGCACTTCAGGACAGGAATTCGAGCTCTGAAACCAGCAGTGCTTTGCTCACAGTTACACAATAGTTGCAGCTCCTCAGACACACCACCACCACAGGCATGTCAGACATGAACGTACACACTGAGATGTCCCAGTGAAACCTCTTTCTATCTGTTTCATACCATAATGCTTGTTTCTGTGTGTGTGTGTGTGTGCAGCCGGGAGCAACACATTAAACATGATGTAACACACCGTGTCATTTAATGTGTTGTTGTGTTGCATGGTTCTGGTGCTGTTACTGTATCTGAGGGGGTCTCCTGTGTGGCCTGCACTGCCTCCCTGTGGCCAACAGAGAGACTGCACAGGAGACGGCACAAACATTGGATAACACTTCACTTGGATAGTCCGCCTACAGATAGAGAACCGGTTCTCAAACTGTGGTACGTGTGCTGCCCCTAGTGGTTACACTGAGGAATCTCTCAATTATTATTTTAAAATGTCATTAAAAAACATATAACACAGTCAAAATAATAGATTTTCTTGAAATGTAATTTAAAATAAGTTTAGCCTACGAGCTAAAATGTGACGGTGAGATAGTGAGCAGAGGTTAAATTAATGGTTCATAAACACTGCAATCGTGGCTCCAAACTGGGACTACTGGGAGGAGAAGTCTGGACCAGGAAGACTCCTTTAACACAAAATTAGCTCTGGTTCTTGAACCAGTTCTGTTCAGGAGTCAGCAGCTGATTAAGGTCGGCCTACTGTACTGTGTTTAACCTCAGTCATACTGGTGGTACTTGGAGACTGTTATAGAGTCTTTGTAACATTTCAACAGCTCATCAGTTGAGATTTAACATGTTTTCTGATATTAAACACAAACACACACAAACATCCTGGTTGTGTTCATGAATTATCACAGATACTCTACAGACAATCTGTTAAACATCAACAGACAAAGAAACTGTTGACATATCTATAAACCAGAGGGGGGGGGGCATTTCCAGCCCCTCCTTCTGAAAGTGGCTGCAGGAGGCGGTGGAGTTTCAAACACTGTCGCTACTGCAGCTAGAGCAGATGGGAGGCTCATGTCACATTAAAGGCACGTGTTGATTTGAGCAAAAAATGTAGTTATGTCAGAAGAAAAATACGAAAATAAATAATTCTAGGCCATATCGTCCATACCAGTTTTGTATAATCATTAGAGTGTGACTTTAAACAAAAGGGTCAGTCACAGCTGCACCTTTAAAACGTCCACTCAAACACACGTTGGATTCAGGAGTCGAACTCCGGCTGCCGCTCGATGAGGACGGTCGTGTCGTTGGCTCTCTTGGAGGACGGATCGAGGCAGGACACTCCCAGAGCTATCAGACACAACCACACCTGCAGCGCAGACAGACAGGTACATTAACAGTCAGCTGTATCACATACACAAGGTCACATATTCAGCATAAAGGTGCATCATCGACGGTGAGCTATGCTGCTGTGGGACCTGACTTTGTCTTTACAAAATATATTTTCTTTATCAAATTATAGAATCATTTTCTTATATTTTGATGCAGGATATAAACTATGCAAAACAATGCATGTTTCCTTTATTTGAAAGTGAAATCTTTGCGCCTTGATATCTCGATTAATATTTATATCTGCAGATTATTTCATTCATCATTTGTTCTATAAAATGTTTGAAAATAGTGAAACATATTTCCCAGAGCTGTATTACCAAAGATTTTATTTTCTTTTAGCATCTTCTATGCACATGTATTTTTAGTATTGTTGTCGCTGTATTATGGTTTTACTGTATATTGTACGTACAGGAATCCTTTATGATGTTTTAGTACTTGTGTTGTTTGTTTTTATGTTTGTTTGACTGCAACTCCAGTTTCCCATCAGGGATTATAAAGTGACTGAACTAGCTTAGTGTCTGTACGTTTCCATACTATAAGGCTGTGACTACCAGGCATATAAACGCAGCAGCATGTAAACCTACCAGATATCCCACGAATGTCAGGTATACTACGGAGAAGAACGTTGCCAGCACATACAGCCACACACTGTTGAATGTTGTCACGTAGACCACGACGAAGTACATGTTGATGGCACACACGAGCAAGATCACCAGCCCTCCTCCGATCTTAGACACCCTGCAGGGGAAAGAGAGTGAGCGCAGTTCTTCTTATAAAGGAGGAACAACAACATTCAGGATTATCATCTGATTATGAGCTCGATAAACTTACAATCCGTTGGCAAACTCATTCATGAGAGACGGCAAACTGGTGAACGTGAGGATGGGAATGAGGGCAAATGGCAACTGTGAGAGAAGGAAATCAATGAATAGGTAGAAAATACAGTAAATTCTTCAACAGCGGCAGATGGAACCAGACCTTTATTTAGTCTTTATTTCTAACTTCACCTGTTCTCTGGTTGATACAAACTCAAAAAACTTCCTCTGTGTTTCCCTTTTGTCTACATTCAGTATAATGTCCACTTCCACAGCACTAATTCAATTCTTATTTCCAGGTGATTATACACTAAACACACCTATTAATAGTATATAATAGTTCCTAAATCTTACACACTGGACCTTGAAGTAACATTTTAAATGCAGGACTTTTTCTTGTATTTCTACTCTTTACTTTTACTGAAATATAAGATCTGAGTACTTCTTCTGCTCTGCTAATTTTTCCATGTGAGCTGATGTAATCGTGTTTTTGTAGCCGGCCTTTATTCGTGCTGGCCACACCCCCTGTCTGTTATTTGAATATATATTACTTATTTATTTTCCCCTTATTGTTTTTATTTGTATTATTATCATTGGTGTCCTTGTACTTGTCTTTTTTTTTAATGTACCATAGTGTTTTTCCTCCCAGTGCACCAGCTCTGTGTCAGATGCATTTTACAGAATCTATTCTATTAAATCTGTTCAGGTTTAGTTTTTGATTATCTTAAGTAACAAAAGTTATAAACAACAAATTATTCATGAACTAGAAGAAAAGATAGACAAAGACATTTAAGAACTAAAACTCCAGTCTGCCAGATAGAGTATGTATTAGCTGTTTAGCTGAGCTAAGCTTACTTTATGTTTTGTGCATTGCTCTAAGTTAATAAAAAAGTACATTATTAGACGTTAATATTAAGAATATGGTTGTTTTGCCAAATTGGAACTGGTTTCAAATGAAGCCAATGAAATCCAATCCTACTTATATCTTCCTTTTTGTATTGCAGGTTGTCAGACCTGCACTTCACAGATAAAGTGCGATGAGATAAAGGTTGGATGAAGCTTCCAGTGAACCAGGTGTCACCCCTGCCTGACCTGCATGCTCTGCAGCACATTGAGGAAGTCGTTCATGCCCGTCAGGTGCTGCACGTCCTGGAAGATGGCAACCAGCAGGGTGGGAGTGATGGCGAGGGAGCGGGTCAGCAACACCCGAGCGAAGCGCGACCAGCGCAGGTTCAAGAAACCCTGAGGGCAGAAAAACACAACAAAAATCTTCAGTAATACAACTGACTGATGTTCGATGGTGATGAAGGTAAAGGAAAGGACCCCATTGTCTGTGTGTGTGTGTGTGTGTGTGTGTGTACGGCTGATTCATCCGTCCTCCACTCACCTCCATGACGAACTGACCAGAGTACGTGCCGGTCATGGTGGAGCTCTGACCAGCTGCAAGGATCCCCACGGCCCAGATGTAGAGCGCAGCCGGGCCAAAGAAGCAGCCGAGCACCACTCCCTGTGTCAGACACGCAAACAGAGAGTTACAAAACTCCAGCAGCGATACATTCCCCAGAAAACAAGTGCACTCCTTCAGCGCTTCAATAAAAACTGTGCTGGATAGAGCGAGGGACGTCGTTAACATAGAAACCCCACAATGTGTAATGTAAAGCTTCTGTAATCAATATTTTATATTAACAGTGGACACGTCTACATCTACATCTCTGTGTGAGAATGTGTGGTAGGAAACAGGGTTATGTGGTGTGAGTGGAAATGTCTACGGGGGGAACTCTGTGTTAGAAGTTTGTAGCTGATGAAGCACAATTCATGTCGCATCTTCCTTTTTTAATCCTGTTATTCACTTTATTTACTATTATCTATTCTTAGCTATTTAGTTTTATTTTGTATTTTTACATTAAAGGTATTTCCGCTTCCTTCCTTCCTTTCACTTACACAGCTATATATGATTTTACTGTATTTTACGTGACTATATAAGTATATGTAGTTATAATCATTGTTTTCTTGTCCATGTTGAATGTCTATGGTTGTAATCCTTTAATGAAAACTCAAATAAAAGAGGAATTGTTAAAAAAAGGATAGTAAATATGAATATATGACTATAACCTTTGACAGAAAGCCTGTGTTACTAACCGAGGTGCTTTGTGGGAAGTGTAGGAGGTTGTGGAGCTTACTAATACTGTCAGAGTAACAGTTTTAAACTCACCCCTTTGTAGATGTCCACCTCTAGAGTTTCATTGTTCAGAGGGAACAGAGATGAATGAGGACTTCCTGATTGATTGCAGACAGTGTGCTGGAATTAAACACACACACACACACACAGACACACACACACATCTGTAGCACAGCAGCCGAAAGAAAACACACGTTGGATTACAAGAGCGGCTGCAGAGACACTCACCACCTCTTCGTTTGTGCGTCCGTAGAAAGCCTCGGCGAAAACAGCCACCACAAACACGTTGATGAGGAATGAGACGAACAGCGCGATGGTCGCCTCAATGAAGAAGTATTTGTTGGCCTCTTTGACTTCTTTCCTGTTCGACCGATCCACTTCTCGAGACTGAGGGAACATTTGGACACTTAAAGCTATAATGTGTAACATTTATGCATTCAAATGTCTATAAACACTCGGCCTATGTTAGATATGTTAGCTGTGTTCTTCCATTATCCCAAATGTTTCCAACAATGTTCAAACTCAGACAAATCTGTCATTTTATTCAGGTAACGCTGCGTTTCACCGGTCGCCTGTCGATGGCGCCATATCCCCTTTGTGCCTGCGTCAGCGTTGTGGTTGTCTGCCAGAAGCTGTCATACATTGACTGTTGATCCAGTCTGAAGCCACATTGTTACCATCCACTGTTTAGATCTTGGTGCTTTTTAACTCTAGATTTGAACCGGATGAAGGATTTTAGTCATCGGACGTCTGGATCTTAAGTTATCAGAGAAACAAGCTGAGCTAACGGCGTGGGAGAAGCAGTGATTGTTAAGGTGGAACTGCTTTATTCAGTGTGTTTAGTGGTTTTAATCAGCTATGTTTGTTTTGGAGAGGAGGAGACCTCTGTGGATCATTGGGCTCCCGGTAGAAACCTCCTGAACCATCAACACTGAAGGAATCACTACTACATAACGTCACGGTGATGTGAGCGGCCGAAGTTACATATTGTACATATAAAGATTTACAGTTTCATACAGCTGATTAAAATAAAGGGGGGAAGCTGTATCCGTCCAGCAGTTGATCGCACCTTGACAAGAGCAGAGTGGAGGTAAATGTTGTGAGGCATGATGACGGCTCCCACGATGCCGACGGCCTGAGCCAGCTGAACGGGCCCGCAGCCCTCGCAGTACGGCACAAACATCCCCTTCAGAAGCTCGCCTTGGTCTGGCCTCACCGTCACATACTGGAAGAGAGGAGGAAGTGCATGAGCAGACGGTTATCACGTGCAGAAGGAATCAATAAGATCCCCAGTGTAACCAGTAGAACAGAACGACACCCATAACAATGCAGGAAATGCTAGCAGATTATAGCAGATTGTTTCCTGTGAATGTTGCATCAGAGGTGAGATATTTTTAGGAATTTATCCTACAGTTATCTATGGAAGAGGTTTCGGGCCACATGTGAACATTTTGGCGTCTCCTAGTGGGGGTCAGGAACCAGTGACGTATGCAGATACATAAACATTTGTACCTCATATCCAAAGGTGATGGCCATGATGGTGATGAGCACACCAAAGAAGGCTTCCAGCTTCCTCAGGCCTGCAGAGAAACAGATGACAAGCTTTATTTACCGCTGCTGTAGAAACATATTTCACTGTAAGTTGATGTAAAACACGCGAGGAGGCCACAACGTACCATACTTGTCCAAGAAGAGGAAGACAAAGGTGTCGATGATGGTGATGAGGACGCCAGCCCACAACGGGATCCTGCCAGTAAACACACACACACACACACACAGTAATGAAGCCGTTTTAAAGCAGCGATCGTTAAACGTACGTTGTGTCTGTTCACGCCACCTGCCAGAGGAGAGGAGGTTGAACGCGATGGCACAGCCGATGACCTCCTGCATGTCTGAGCCAATGATCGCCAGCTCCACCATCAACCACAGGATGACACGAGGCACCTGGACAGAGGACTCGGGCGTTAATGTTCGCAGATACGGATTATTTAAAGACCCATTATGTAAACTTTTCTACCCTAAAATAGCAAAACCAAAATCATTTTGATGCAGCCTTGAAAACACAAATATATTCAAACAAAACTGATCTAGAATTTCATCCATATTTGTGGCAAAAATGAATATTACAAACAAGAAACATAATTTCTAACATAATTATAACGGTGAAAGAAAGAGAGATGATGGCGAGGTTAGTTAACAACAACAGAAGGGAGCGGAGGAGGGAGTGAGTGTCGTGGACAGTGTTATCGATAATGGGACGTCAGATTGTGTGAAGGATTCAGTGGCATCTAGCGGTGTCGTTGCAGATAGCAACTTCCTCGTTTCACCCTGCCGTTAAAAGCTCGATGGAGAAATTATGGTGGCTGACGATAAACGCCGCTTCCTGGAGCCGGTGTTTGGTTTGTCTGTTCTGGGCTGCTGTAGAAACATGGCAGACTCCATTAAAGACGACCTGATAAAAAATGTCTGATTTTAAGGTTAAAAAAGGTGATTATACACTAATGAAAGCAAGATTATGTATATTATATTTCTGCCATTAGATCCTCCTAAATGTTTCACACTGGACCTTTAAATATATTAAATAAGACACATTGATACATGATGACTCCACAAATGCATTGCATTATGGTCCCATCTTTACATCACTTTAACAAATATCTGATTTCTTCAGCTTTGCCTCCTTCAAACACACGAACAATCGAACGCACACTGAAGGGAATTGTTCCATTCATGTTGCTCCTGACATGTTTTCCCTCACTTAAAATGTGTCGAGCTGAAATGCTCGAGAGAACAAAAGAGCTGATCACATGATTTTTAGCCATGTGGTTACCAGTTGTTCCAGGTATTAGGAAAACAGAGAGCTGGATTTAGAAATATATATTCGCATGAATAATTCATTAAAATAGATTCCACATTTTCTATCCTCACAGCTCACAATTAAGGTTTTAGATCATATAATCCGAGGATTACGGCTACTGTAACAACAGAGCTCAGTGTGGGTTATACAATGAGGCAGTTACAGTAAACCAGGTCCACTTCAGCCTCTCAGTTTGCCGCAGAGACAACCTCAGTGGACCACTTTACAGCGAACCCATTGAGCCGATATTGCACGTATAAAGGAGGGAATCATCAACAGCTGAGAGTAGTGAGGTCTCACAGTGCGGTACTGGCGGTTGCAGACTTCAGCCAGGTGCATCCCGGTGACGACGCCCAGCCGAGCCGCCAGACGCTGCAGCAGCAGGCCGATGATGGTGGCTCCCAGCAGCACCCAGAGGAGCTGACAGGACGAGAACACAGGCATCATCAGTTAATCAGCCGTCTCATGAGCTCAAATCATCCTGTCTGAAACCGGTGGAGAGGAGAAGTTTGAGATTGTGAACGTTTAGAAACTATTCGGGACATCTCAGATTCAAAATCACGCTGCTTCACCACCTTATCAAACTTCATGTTTTGTTATTGTTTTGATGTGAGAGACCCACTAGTGGCAGAAATTACATATTGTACCTTTAACTCGTGTCTCAAGATAACAGCTTTAAAAAGAAAAGCAAGCACGGCCATTCTCGGTTTCCAAATCTTTACAAAAGCACTTCCTTAATCTCCAGTACGTCCAGAATGAGTCACTTAAATTTATAAAAGCATCTTTTTCTTTTTCCTTTCCAGTCCAGACTAAAACAAACTCTTTCCAGAGTATAAAAACTTGAGGACTTTCTGTAGCCTCAAACCTTCCCTGTGATGGCTCATTTTAAATGTCAATACAGCCACACACACACACACACACACACACACACACACACACACACACACACACACACACACAGAAGTGTCTGTTTAGTAATTGTTTGTTAAAAGTTTAAGAGTAACTAATTTTCAATCAATCAGAGCCAAGAAAGGAAGTTGCTTGTTCATTCACAGATTGTCAGGCTCAGGACTCAGTGTGAACATTCACTCCGACTCTCATTCACTTTATTTCAAACCCTAATTAATTCAAGAATGTGTTTTCAGTTTTAGAAGGTCAAAGTTCACCTTTGTTGCTCTCTAATGTCTCAGTTTCATGAGTCTGTGTTCAATTGGGCGTCTATCTGATCCACCAAACGGAGGCTGAGTAAGTTAAGGCTGCAACACGTAAAGTCTGTACAGAATATTTATCTTTATGGATTATATTGATGCCGAATTGACAATGAGACTGACGGCATATGACTCCCTTTAGCTCGTGTTTCTAGAGTTACGTGTTATTACGGACACGTAAGGAATTGTTAAAATGTGTTATTCCTTAAAGGGAGTTTGGTGCAGAGAGATTTTAGTTTAATTTAAACTTTTGTCACCACTACAGAAACACTAGCTAACTGTTAAAGTATGATATTGTGTGTACTGATTACTAATTGTACTCATATCACGGCAGTATGATAAATAAATGATAAGTAAAAGTTACCTTGAAGCCAGCTTTAGCACCAGACTGCAGGTCAGACTCGATGTTACCTGGGTCCAGGTAGGCTATGCTCATCAGAAACCCCGGCCCAGTGAAGGCCCACAGCTTACGGAGACTAATCCCCCACTGCAGGACAGAGAAATACAAACAATTCAACAATTAATATATATCATATGTCATTTTATATGACAGTATTGATATATATCACGATGTAGTTAATAGAAACTGTTTATGAATAAAATCAAAGTTTGACATTTTAGGAAAATGCACTTATTTGCTTTCTTCCCAAAAGACGAGAAGGTTTTTCCACGTATAATCAGGGATTACCTCGCTGTCCTCCTCGGGAACGGGGACCCTCTGGTCGAAGTAAGTGCTGGAAACAGGTTCATTATTGTGTTTCTGGAGGAAGACCGAGGGGGCCGAGACTCTGTGTGTGTGTGTGGTCTGGATCACTGCTTTCTCTTCCACCAGGTCATCTGCTCCAATACGACACAAACATAGAAAACTGTTCACACGAGGTAAAACACTGTGGGGAACTGCTGACACACGTTTACATCTGATATGAGTAACTGCACAGTGAAAAGGAAGTTACAGTTGATTAGCAGAACAGAGTCATTATTGTAAACAGCATTACTGTGCGCTCTGATCTGATGAATATACTAATGAAATGATGTGTCTTCAGTACCAGGATAACCTGTCTTAGAGCTCTAGAGGAATTTTCCTGCAATCTGATTGAGGGAGTTTCTGGTTCCCAAACCATCACACCAAAGAAGGAAAGTACAACAGAACAAGGTCATCATGGTTTTGTCGATGTGGAAATAGGACAGAACAAACGCTGGTGGCCCTTTTTGCACACAGCTTCACAGTTTGGAGTCAATAATTGTCCCGAGATATTTTGAAGACTGCACACATTCCACCGTCTGACCCTGACATCTTGCGCAAGAAGTTCCTGGTGCCATTTTGCATCTTAACAATACAACAGGTGTCTGCTTTTGGCCCGCGGCCCAGCATTAAGTGTCAGTTTTCAGTCATTCAAGGGAAAAAGTTTGGGCAATATCAGCGATTACTATTACGTCATCAGGATTAGTCCTCTGGTCTCATACTCTCACTCTGAATAATACACACAGATACATTACTAACAGGGAGAGACTGATTTATTTATCCGATTGCAGATAAAATAAATGTGCTCCCTTACACAAGACATCTTACTGGTTACACCTTTTTTAAGATAATGTTCAAAAGTTCTCTTTTGCAGCATTTAATTTAAACACATTCATAAAGTACTCAGATCTTTGACTGTAGTGAAAGTAGTAACACCAAAGTGAAAATACTTTAAAGTCCTGCATTCAGAATCTTAGTTAAAGTGCAGAAGTATTTGCATTAATAAAGACTTAAAGCATCAAAAGTAAAAGCAGCACCGCCATTACTGTAGTGGCTCTGTGACAGCAGCATTATGGGTAATTGGACTTACAACGTCAGACAGTGTCCTTCAGTTACTGATGAAGGTACTTTATATGGATGGAGACTGACCGACCGTCAACAACCGTCGCCACATTTCAAGCGATGTACTTTGTATTACGACTCTACATGTTAGTTATTTAATCATCACAGACCAGTTATAACAGTAAAAAGATTAATAAATACAAATTCATGCTTTTTCATATTCAAGATGAATTAATTAATCGCCTGTAATGTGAACATTTTGGTCCTCTGCACACCCGGAGTCTAAGCCTTTAGCACTACTGTTGGAGCAGTTGATAACTGCACAGCTTCTTCCAACAATTCACAGATATTGTTCTAAAAAGTAACGTTAAATAGAAAGTAAAAGGAAAAGTAGAAAACTGTACACCTCTTAGGACAGCTTGCATTCAAAGAGCACAATATTTCCCTCTGAACTGTAAGAGATTGGAAATAGAAAAGTAGCATAAAATGTAAATTCTCATAAAATTGCACAAACTTATGTTCACATTACTTGAGTAAATGTACTAAGTTACACTCCACTGCTACTTATTCTAAATTCTGACACCAAGATTTACATTTATACTGCAAATCAGTTTCCTCATTACTAATATCTACTAGTATCTGTATCTGTATCGGTCCTGTATTGTACTGTTGTTCCCAGCCGCTGCGATGAGCCCCGAACAAAAAAACAAAACTGTCTACAAAACAAACGCTCCTCACCTCGTCCTCCGGTCGGTTCCTGCTGCTGATCTGTGGGAAAACTGGGAGGCAGCGAGGAGATGTGGATGTTCTCAAGAGGGGGGTCTCTGACTGGAGACAAACAGGGAATTATACTGAGATTACAGCACACAGAACTAAACTCTTCACACACACACAGAACTAAACTCTTCACACACACAGAACTAAACTCTTCACACACACACACACACACACACACACACACACACACACAAAAGAACTAAACTCTTCACACACACAGAACTAAACTCTTCACACACACAGAACTAAACTCTTCACACACACACACACACACACACACACACACACAAGAACTAAACTCTTCACACACACACACACACACACACACACACACACACACACAGAACTAAACTCTTCACACACACAGAACTAAACTCTTCACACACACAGAACTAAACTCTTCACACACACAGAAATAAACCCACACACACAGAACTAAACTCTTCACACACACACAGAACTAAACTCTTCACACACACACAGAAATAAACTCTTCACACACACACAGAACTAAACTCTTCACACACACAGAACTAAACTCTTCACACACACAGAAATAAACTCTTCACACACACACACACAGAACTATGAGAAAACAGAGAGCGAAGGATCTTCAGGTGTCTGTTGGGTTCCCCGCTGAACCGTTATACTTCATTTTACGACATTTTAGAGGCAAACATTGCACTTTTCTACATTAATTATGGACAACTTTAGTTTTAGTTATTGATAAAAATATATATAATCAACAAATAAATGATGTATTTGTACATATTAAGTTAAATAAAGTCGTTAAAGCTGCAACATTAAAGTGATAAACACATAAATCAATAGTTATAATCCATTAATATAATATCTTGTTCTTTATTTAAAACTAAAGCTGTCACATAAATAGTTGTGGAGTCGAAGTCGAAAGTTAAGTTCCTCAATAAATGTGCTTAGTTGGTTCCTGTGAGAATATTATGGGATATAAAATTATATTACAGGAACTTATAAACATGATGAGGTCAGTTTGAACTCTGTGACACCGTAAATCTTTAGTACTTAAAGTAAAAGCACTCGTATCAGAATCATGTTCATATTATATTGTTGCATTATAACTGCTGACGCATTCATAAATAACATTACTTTAAAATGTTTATATCAATATATATATCAATCAATCGATCAGTTAAACTTTATTTGTATAAACACCTTCTGTACGGGTCAGCGTGTTTCTCTAATACTGAGACAGAATGAACCAAAATAATGAGAAATAAAAACTAAATAAAAACTAAATTAAATACGTTTAGAAGTAAAATAAAAAGATAAAAATCACAATAAAATACAATAAATAATAATAATAATAATTATTATTATTCCAGTCTGTCCCCATTATCTGTTTATTCCAGGATTATTTTGTTTTGTATTATTTAAATTTATGTATAACTATATATTTATATTCATATATAATTTAATAAAAACTCACATTATTAATATTATATTACACCTGTACTGTATATTTATAACCCTGTATCAATCACATCTGTATATAAAAAGCTGTATATAGTGTACAAATAATTTCTATTCTATCTTTATCTATTTAATATATTAAATATATTATACTATATTTACGTTTCTATTCTGTTTCTATTTAATGTGTATTTTCTGTCTGTTGTGTTGTAGCCTGTGAACTTCCCCTGTGGGATCAATAAAGTCTTTATTATATTATATTATATTATATTATCTTAAGAAGAATGAGGGGGAGGGATAAACTGCAAAATATATTTACAGACTTTAACAGTAAATTCATTATTTCACAGTAATATAGATAAAAATCACAGTAATGTGTTGCTACAGTAACCAGTAATAATATTAATGTAAAATATTACAATATTTTGATGTAAAATTACAATATATTGTAAAATCTGCCTGTAATATTAAAATAATTACGCATCATGCATTGCAAAAACCCCATTACAGTAGTTTATTGTGAGAATTTTAACAGTTTATTAATAATAAAGTAACTAAAAAAACAGTTTGTATAGGTTTGAGTTGTACTGCAGGTAACTTTAATGTGGGAGGGCGTAACCAGGGAATATACATTTCCCACAGTTATATTATATTTATGAAAATGTGCACATTTATAAGTAGTTTTAAAGACAATATTGACATTTAAATTCACATTTAAAAAAGTCTGTGAGCGGCTTTTTAGAAATAAAGTTGCAAGGAGAGTCCGAGTGGCGTCACACACTCAATGTTTACTTATAAAATAAACAAATAAACTAAAAATAAACAGGAAATAAGAAGAGACAGCGCTCAGAAAAACTTAAATTCTTCTGTATATTGTTGTGTTTATATCCTAGTTAATGTGACTAACAGTACTTGAGTAAATCTTACTTTATACTTTAGTTAAAATGTTAATAAATAAAAATATCAGGGGACATTTTAGGGCTGCAGGACACTGTAAAAACATCATATTGTGATTATTGTGTCAGATATGATTCACAATGTGTGTAAATGATGATTTTTGACTCACTTATTAAAATTTAACTTAAAAATTAAAGATTAAAATCATAATAAAGAGAATTAGTAGAACCAGATATATAATCAGGACTTTCATAATAAACCTGTTGTGTCACATTTCACTTCTGCCACCTGCAGGTTGTACTTGATACATCGACGATATCGGTAATAAATCGATTAACTGTGATTATTATTGTATTAATTAAACATGTGAACTCACCTGAGCGCAGGAAGGAAAACATCTTCTCCTGTTACACAAACCGAACTGAACCGAACCGGGTCAGACTCATTCAAAGCATCAACCGGTGATATGATTCATTCTCTCTCTCTCTCTCTCTCTCTCTCTCTCTCTCTCTTTCTCTCTGCTCGCTTCCCTGTTTCCTCTGAGCTTCATGGAGCAGGAACATCCGGGCAGGTTGGACCCGGAGCGACGGTGGACTCACCTGACAGGTAAGGGAGGGAGGAAGGGGGAGGGAGGGGGGAGGAGGGGGAAACTACCTGAGGACAAAGTCACACAACAACAGAAAAGTTTAACAAGTGGACCCGTTGTCGCTCCTGTTTCTGTCACGTGATTCGGTTTTAACAGTCTGGGGCTGATCCCGGACCAGCAGACTGGCGGGTTTTCAAAATAAAACAACACAGGTGGTTGTTGTTTTTAAATACAAAACTTTTTTGTTTGTTTGTTTGTTTCACATTTTTTAATGTTAAATGCACTCATAAAGAAGTATGTTTAGTCCCTTGTTCATTAACTTCATGTTAACTGTGTGAATATAAGGGTTTAGGTTGGTCCCTTTCAAAATAAAAGCCTCAGACTATAAATCAGAATCAGCTTTATTGGACAAGTTTGTGTACACACACACACACACACACACACACACACACACACACACACACACACACACACACACACACACACACACACACACACACACACACACACACAAAGTTTATGTACTGTAGACAACAAAGCTGAAAAAATAAATAAAAATAGACCTATATATAGGTGAAAATAGGTGTATAGGCAAGCAACCATTACCAACAACATATATATATATATATATATATATGTATAATAGTCTGTATACAAGTGTTTCTTTAAAGCGTAAATAAAACAAATAGTGCAAAGAAATAAATATTGAATGGATAAACATGCAAACATGTTTAGAAATTAACCCTATATTATATATATATAGATAATTAACTGTTTATATCTGGTTCAAGACCATTTGTGCTCTCAAATAAAGTGAAAATGACGGTTCATTAATACATTATCTTTAAGGTTTGTTAGCAGTGTTGGAAAGTAACCTTTAAGGTATTTTAATTTCCTGCCACTACAATTCAAGAGCCAAATATTATAGGATAGTTTTCTAACAATAGATCCTCCTCACTGTGACACACTGGAGCTTTAAAATACTGGAATCAGCCTCTAACATGTCCACTGTGTGTTCCTTTAACTTCATTTAAAAACCTCAAATTCACAGAAAAAACAACCACAGAGGACATTAACTCAAAAGCAGCTAAATAAACAACAAAAATCTGAATATCTATGTTGTTCTCTCCATATATATATAGAAAGGAGAAATGATAAGAAGATTCAAAAACTTACCAGCCGCCTCATGTGACGCTCTGCAGGTATTTGTACCCCCCCCCCAACCAGCCAGCAGCACAAAGGCTTTTATGTCCCTCAGAGGAATGATGCGGTTTCATGTTGAGGTGAGTGGGTGAACAGAGCAGGAGCCGCCACCGGGGGGCGACAAACACTGACTGATCCTCACCCGGGAGGACTTGTTGTTCAGTCACACACACACACACACACACACACACACACACACACACACACACACACTGTCAGAGGGTTTGAAATGCAGGATTCAACCTGTGAGTTCAGGCCTTTAAATCTGATTCACTTGTCTTCTTCACAGGTTCAACGACGGCTCTCTGTCCCAGTCAGCTATGACAGTGTGAGCAACACCAGGACCCTGAAACTGAAGCAGCTAAATGGAATCCAGCCATCATTCATTTGCTCATTTACTGTGGGGGCGTCCTGTTAGCCCCCCTTTTGTACCGAGGCTCAGTCCTTACTGCAGCAACCTGTCTCTCTCTCTCTCTCTCTCTCTCTCTCTCTCCTCACTTTCCTGTCTTTCTTCAGCTGTCACTATAAAAATAAAAGCATTTAAAAATAAAAATCTCTTCCTGTGACGTGTCAAAATGTCTAAAAGAGAGCGACTGTCATCAGTGTGACGTGTGCCGGCATGTAGGTTGGCCCCTCGCTGTCAGTCAGAAGAGACTCTGCATGGAGCTGTGGATGACAGTGTCTGTCTGTCTGTCTGTCTGTCTGTCTGTCTGTCTGTCTGTCCCGTCTGTCCGTCGCCGCTTTATCTCAACAACTATTTGATGGATTAAAATGAAATGCTGGTCTCCACTGAGGATGAAACCTGGATGATTTCTCCTGCAGCTGATTGTCTCTGGATCCCAGGTGATGAATCTGATTTGACAGCAGTTGGATGCCTTGACAGAGAATTTGGTGCCATCATGGTCCCCAACCTGGGGGTCCTGTCAGGGGCGGATCTATAGAAATATTCACGGGGTGGCCAGAAGGCGGTATGGAGACTTTAAGGGGAGGCAGAAATATATGCAAACAATCACATATATCAACATTTGCCTGGAAAACATCATATTACTGTGGCACATTAGTGAAGCATTGGATATAAATATCTACAGGAGGCATTAGAAATCAATAAATTGCCACTTAGTCTAAAATGTGACGATAACAGAGTTCAGATGTTACTAATTTAACTGACTTTGTTATTAAACTTGAGTTTTGTGGCTGTTGTAGTTTCCCGTTCTCATTCCCAGGTCGTCAAATACAGACGCGAGCGGTGTTCAGTTAGTTGCAATCTGCAGCTTTACTGTTAGATGTGAATAAAAACAGGGGCTGTGAAGTGAGTAAGAGAAACTACAGCCAGTGTTTGATTTGTCCCTTCTGGGCTACTGTAGAAACATGGCAGGTCTGTAGATAAAAAAAAAGGTAACAAAAACACACTCATTCCTATATTCAGGGATTAAACACCTCATTGTTAAACACTGGACCTTTAAGTTTCAGAGCTGCTCTACAAACTCTGTGTGCACATCATAATAAAAGATAAGAGTTTGCAGATTGAATGGCCTTATTTTAATCTCTTAATGTCACTATAATGTTCTTGATGTTTGCTTCTATTATTCTCTTACAGCACGTCAACATATCACTGCTGCAATTAACTGATTCATTTGGTTTATTATAACATTAATTCTGTATATTCAGTAGATTTATATTTATTCAGTAGGTTTTTATCTGTGATATCTGTGTCACTTCCTCCTATAAGTCATCAGAACTTTTTCTCAAAAGCTCTGAATCATTTAGACTTTCTGACTGCGAGTGCCGGAAATGTGTTACTGACTCACTCATATTGGTCCACATGAGTACCCTTACTTCTTATGGAGTACTGCCACCTCTGGTGAGCATAGCCACTGAGGTCAACGGTATTATTTACAAGGAGTAGACAATAAAACTCAGGAAATAATTGCCTAAAAATACCTACTTTGATGCTTTGATGCTCCCCAGATATTCCTCTAGTAAGTTCAGTTTGTGGAGCTCAGTGTTTCTAAAAGCTGTGCTGCTGAGGTTCTCCTAAACTGGGTTAAGCTGCACGTTGTTACCTTTGGACAGAGCCAGGCTAGGTGTATGCTAAGCTAATCGGCTGCTGCCTGTGGCTTCACCTTACAGACACGAGTGTCGTATCAGTCTTTTTTGTGACAAATGCAAATTTCCCCTATTCCTTTCAGTCTTTTCTTTTTTGTAATTGATAACTTTCATATCTTGTATTATCTCACTTTTGGTTTCTGCCTTTAATATCGTCCTTACAGTGTCGTGTCTTTGGTTGAATACATATAAACGAGTGTAACCTGCTTCACACATTCATAACACAAAGAAGAGTTCTGGGAGTTAACTTTACATTAAAAATAAAGTACTAGAACCTTTTTTGGTCCAATTCAGGAACTGCCGACTGGACCAGAAAATCAATAGAGGCAAATATCGTCTTTAAATTCCTTCCCTTGTTATATAACCTAAAAACAATAACATCAGATAATTGGACTCTTTTTAGGTGGCGGAAGTGGAAATGATTTATCTTTAACATTTGTCGGGTTCTTGTTTCAGGATGATGAAGAGTTAAAGAACAATATATCAGATTCCAGTGTGAACAGGTCACAGTCCTGACGAATGTCGATCTACAGTGACGTAAATGCCACATGAATTCTGATATGATTGTTCACACTGTCTTAAAAACATCAGATCTGAGTCACATATGAGCAAAACAAACTCAGATTGAGGTCATCTTGCTCTGTAGTAGATAATAAACAGGACGTACTGGCTCTACAACCAGAATGATGTCCAGATTTTGAGAGATTCTATGAGAAATAGTTCAAATATCTGCTGTAAGAGGGAAAGTTTACAATGTTATTAGAGCTGCAGATATTTCTCTGATCCAGAGCTGTAACTTATCATCATTTTACCAATTATGGTAATTAATTAATGGTCTTTGCATCTGTGTTCTTCTCTTGTTTCTGTCTCATTATTACTGTTTTTATTCTTTTATCTTATTTTTGATTTCTTTTTATAATGTTTTTTTTTTATAATTCTATTGTTTTTAAGTGTGTTTTAACTGTCTTTCCTTTAACTTACAGCATCTTGAATCTACCTTTGTGTATGAAACATGCTTTATAAATAAAACTGCCTTTGCTTCATTGTTTAGTCTGTAAAATGTTAAATTAAATAGTAAAAAATGTTCCCTACAGCTCTCCAGAGCCCAAAAATTACGCCTACAAACGTCTCTCATTATCTGTCCAATGGTCCTAAACTCCCCAAATATTCAGTTTACAAAGATATAAAACAGAGAAAAGCAGCCTCAAATGATTTAATTATCAAAGCAGTTACCAATGAATCTTCAGTGAATCGGTTAATTGATTAATTGACTATTTGTTGCGGCTCTGCTTGCCAGTGATTTCACTTTACCTCAGGGGAGAGTGTCAGTCAGTTTAAACAAGTTCATTAAAGAAAAGAGAGCTATTTAAAATAAAGGATGTCCCCATAAAACAACATTAGCTCACTACATTTACACCCGAAAAACAACGACACACTCAATCAGACCATGCATGCTTTAAGCCAGTGGTTCCCAACCTGGGGGTCGGGACCCTCACTAGCGGTCGCCAAAGATTCATAAGGGGGTCGTGCAGCCTCCACAATTTTAAGTCGTGTAGGAAAACTTTAAAAATGTACACAGTAGGTCGATATCTCATCGTCCTGCAGTAAAAAGTACACAGATATAACAAGCAAGCTAAGCTAAACACTGAATTTGTCATAAAAGAAGCCTGTTAAGTCTGTGTGATTGTTAAAAAATAAATAAAAAAACATAATACAGACAGAGAATTGTATAAAAAGTTCCTAAAAATATCAGGAAAACTCAGGAATCAGGAAATAATCTGCTCATAATTCATCCCAGTGGCTCGTTTTACACAACATACCTGCAGTTATTGTGTTCACTGTTTACAGTTCATCTGTCGCTCTGTACTTTTATTGTTAAAGCGTTGAATATAATATGAAATATCCATATAATATGTCACTTAAGTCGGTTTAATCGATGAGAGAAAAGGGGGCCCCTGAAGGAAAAAAGGTTGGGAACCGCTGCTTTACAGGTGGAGTAAAGAAGAGACTGAGTGAGACTGAGTAGTAAGAGATCATCCGATCCCCCTTTTTAATCCAATAGTTTTACTTATTATCAAATCTGAATCAGCACACAGCAGCAACAATCTGAAATAGCTGTAACACACTGCCATTTGTCATGTCGACAAAAAGTTTGGTGCAATGAAATCAGATGTTTTTAAAGTGTTTATTTTGGCAAGCACCATTCGAAATAGAGCAAATTTGTCATGTGCTTATGTTATGTGATGAAGAATAAAATTATATACCCATGCAAAATTCCCTGTGAAATGTACATACGTATCTTTATTGCAGAAAGTTTTAAGTGTCACTGAAATCTTATTGTTTTATTTTTTCTTTTGCTTTTTTTTTACTCTTTTTTAAAACTCGTAATGACTTATTGTTCAGTTCCCCTCGCTTTGTTTGTTTGTCTGTTTGTTTGTTTGTTTGTTTCAGTTTTCGGTCTATTTACCAGCATCGGTTCAGCTTGTAAGAAATTTTAAGATCATTATACATACTTGTCTGGAAATGCTTGGCATGTATGGAGTTTACATGACTTTCCTCTAAAAATCATACATCCGTACAAAAATCAAAGTGAGTAAAAAACAAACAAAACCCAAAAAAAACAAAAAAGAAAAAAGAAGGAGATACAAATCAAACCAAGAGGATCAAATCAAAGGAAAATGTCTCTGTGCATCCTGATATTGAACTGGAAAAAATCTCTCATCGTCTTGGATTACGTTATAAAGCCTGTTTACACTTTCCCCCCCTCAAATTTCACGTTTCATGTCTTTTAATGCTTTATTTTCATCAGTTCTTTAATTATTGAAAAGGAGCGTCTGGCTTCCTTTTTGTTGTAAGAAACACGAGGAGGAAATCCTCAAGCGTGTGCGCTGTCTGTCTCGGCTCCTCCGCGGGCTCCTGGGGCCCGCAACAAGTCTTTTAGTATTTTAATATCAGGTCCATAAGTCCGTCCTCTCATTTACATCTGGACACAAAGACGAGATCTATCCAATCACACATGCCGTAGTCCCACTCATACGGTGGTGACCCTCATCACCACCTCCCGATTGGTGGCGGCGCTGATCCGCGGGTCGTTGGGCCGCAGTTGGCTCAGGATGTGCAAGATGGTGTATCCACAGTGGTGGTTCAGAATAGTTCTTAACCTCCTGCTCTGTCGCCCTCCGCTGCTGCTGGCCAGACCGTGGGGGTTGCCGCGAGAGCCCCGAGCCCCCGTCTTGCTCGAACTCAACGGGTCGCCCAAGTCCTTTGACTTCTCATAGTTCAGTACTTTCCACTGCTGATTGACAGCCTGCCATCGTTTGAAGATTCGATACACTGAAGATCCCTCGTGGATGATGAGGCCTGGGCAGAAAGAAGAAGAAGAGGCAGGGTGAAGGACAGTTGCGTGAAAGCCAATGAATTTCCACTGCTTTACATCAAATATTATGCTAAGGAGGCTCTGCAATCGGCGGCGTAGGTAGGAACTTTCCAATCTCGCCCGCGGATGAGAATAGACAGTTGGCAATAGTCAGCGTGCAGATATCTGATGCCATCTGTTCTCGCTGTTGTCACAATTACACAAGAACAGTCAACCAGGTTGCTCCTAGAAAGCACAATCTCTTGTTCTCCGCCACATCATCAAAATTTGCTTTGCTTTTAGTGTAGCTGTCATCTCCTACCTATGCACCATCTGCTTCCTTAGTTCAGTTTCTGTTTAATTCTGTATGACCTTAACAACCGACAGAATGCGAACTGAATACATGTTTTTTTATCATTGTGTCGGTTTGTCCTTGCATAATGCAACCTATCTTTATTAATATATTTTGGTGTTGATGCCGAGCACATTCTGATTCCTTCGCAGCTCTTCTTGTTTCATAATGCATCCGGTCGTCCTCTATCACCTAAAGCAGTCGGTTCCCTACCTCTTTCCTTCATGGACCCATTTCCTATCATTGAATAAACTGAAGACCTCTGACATATTTCATATTATATTCAGTGCACAGCAGCAACAGTTCAGAACAACTGATTAACCCAAATAGTGAACACAATACCTGCAGGAAGTTCGTGTATAATGAGCGATTTGGATGAATTTTCAGCAAATAGTGATCAAAGATGAGTTTCCCGATATTTTAATACAATTCTCTGTCTGTATTATGTGTTTTGTTTTATTTTTAACAATTGTAACAACTTAGTAGGCCTCTTATTTTGACAAATTCTGTATTATATTCTCTCTGATGCTGCCTGTTTCTCAGAGAGTGAAGGATCTGTGAATAAAGCTTGCGTTCAAATCTTCAAAGCTTAAATCTAAACTTTAAAAAACATATTCAGTTTTCTTCAGAGAAATAATCAAAATGCTGTGATCCTCTGTATATTCTCTATCCTGACCCCCACTAGAGTTGGGAACAACTGACCTAAACCTTCTCCTGCTACCATGTTTTCATCCTTCTAACAATCTGTCTATAACTGCTGCTGCTAACGCTGTTTATAACACGGCTGTGTAATCGTGGCGTCCACTGGTGTGTCCTTTACCTATGCAGACGATGTCCATGAAGCCGTACATGCCGTAGCAGATTTGGAAGAGCAGGTCCTGACGTTGCCACTTGGCTGAGGGGCTGAGGGAGGACCAGATGAGCCAGGAGATGCTGGCGATGAGGAAAAGGGAACCCAGAATGATGGCCGCTATCTGCACCTTCTCTATCACCGTCAGAGAGATGGCCTGCCACTGGAGGGGGGAGAAACGTCAGTTAATGGAGGAAATACTCACATTGTTTAATTAAGTAAAAGTACAAGAACAGCGATGTGAAGTCGCTAAATCCAGGTTTGTTCTGGTTCCTCATTATTTGTTTCTGTTCGTCACATTTTAAGCTGACTTTACCCGACGTGCTGGTTATCCTCAGTTAATCTGATTCATCATTTTGTTAATTTGACAAAGTTTAATAAAGCTGCCAGGAACATAAAACACAAGAAAAATGACTCAGTTGCCTATAAAACTGTACAAATGTTTTGTGCTAATCGCTTATAATATTATTATATAACAGGTTGTTTCACTATTCATACACACAAATAGAGCAGAAGAATGTAAGAAATAAAAGTATAATTCAGTCTATTTACATGTAAAGTCATTTTATTCCAACTCGTTTTTGTGCCTGAAAAATATAAATAATGGGAGCTAGTTTGTGGAGCTAGTTTTAACTACTTTCTAAACTGTTAGGTAGTTTAATCCAGTGGTTTACAACCTAGGGATTGAGTCCCTCCAAAGGGTCACAAGATTCACGAGAGGTTGTGAGAAGAAACAAATATTCTAAGCAAAAAATAAGCTCAATATATACAGTATTTACACAACAGAGGTCTATGTACTGTGTACTATTGCATGTAATGAGATAGTAAAGGAATGATGGTGTGTAGTTTGAGCGTATTTTGCAACTTAAACCTGCATTCTGCGTAACGGCCAGCAGGGGGAGCTCCATTGGCTGCACAAAGAAACCGATGGTATTTACTGTAATGGAGAATGAGTCAACTTCTCAATTGATTTAAGTCGAAACCGCGCAGCCAATGAGAGCAGCTCAACTCGCAGTACGTCACCTCCGCTGGCTCTGACAAACTGTCACGGCAACAACCATAATGCCAAACTTCAGGCTTCAAAACGGTTCTCCACAAACCGATGGGCGACGTCACGACAGGTTCACACTTGGTACGGACTTCAGGAGTGAACCATACTAATGAATTTGGCAACAAAAAAAGGCACAGACTTTTGGGGAATCGACTGCATGACAACCTGACAATGTCCGACAGCCATTTAGGAGCAGCTGATCAGTCTCAACTCTCCGCGGTACGCTGGAGGCAAACGACGCCAGACAAAGCTTAAATTCAGTCCGACTCTAAAATGAGTCGTGTTGCTCAAAAATCATGTCAGAAATGGACTAAAATCGTACCGTGTATGCCCAGTTTTAGAGAAATATGTAGCCAAAAAAGGCTAAAGTAGCAAAAAATGGAAAAAGTTAACTATAAAAACCTCAAAATTGTGCATAAGTACAGTACATGAGTAAATGTACAGTTACTCTCCACCACATTATATCTCACCAGAGAGAGATATCTATGAGTACACGATGAACACACACACACAAACACACACACATGGCATCCTCTCAATAGGTTTTAGAGCCATTGGCCGCCTCTGAAAAGGAGGGCAGAAGGACAGTGACGCAGAGGGAAAATGTGTCAGCACAATATGGCAAACAGTCCTCACACCACAGCGACGGCCCGAGATTTGTTCTAGCAGAGAGTGCTGTGTTCGGATGCGGCAGCGTTTGTATGTCGTATACGTTATTAGGAAACTGTCTCTGTCAGCAGCAGCAGCAGCGATAAGATCTCCCCGTCTGATGCACTCATGAATTTTAAAACATTACACCTCGCGGAGCACAACAGCCTTTGTGTTTCACCTGCATGTCAAGAAGTCGTTTACATATTCACGTACTATCTCCGTCTTGTTTACGTGATGTTTATCCCCGAATCCCAGAGAAAGAGAGAGCGTTGTTCTAAGAGCCAAACCGACCTGAACTGAGCCATGCTGTGCTGTGTTTGTAAGTTGAATCCCACGTGCAGCTTGAGTCAGACTGAGGGAGCAAAGTATGAGTGTTGGAGCAGCTTTCAGCTCAAATTCTGTAACTCAAGATGGTGCATGAAGCCTTGTTTTTCACAGAAGTTGTTTTCCAGTTTTTTATTGATTACATGGCGTCCATGTGTTTGATGCCGACCTGTGGCCCTTTGCTTTGTGTTATCCTCTCTGTCTCTGTCTGTCTCTCTCTCTCTCTCTCTCTCTCTCTCTCTCTCTCCTGTTTATCTTAAACTAAGCTGTCCTATCAACCCCCACTAGGGGTCGCCAAAGCTTCACAGGGGGTCGCAAGGCCTTCTTGATTTTAAGAGGTGTAAGAACGAAGACTTAAGAAATATATAAGAAAAAATTTAAGAAATTGAAATAATTTGATTAAATTTTTCTTTTGGAAGTTTAGAATTGTATTAAAATACATTTTTATTTAAATGTATCAGACCTGAACATGAGCTCTATTACTAGAGCCTTCACTCTCCAATAAACACCTTCGCCCGGCTTTAGAAAAGTAAGTATGTCGAGTGTCAGGCAGAAGAAAACACAGAATTTTGTGTTTTAGAGGCAGAGAAAACTGACCTCTGTAGGAAATAATCTGCTTACATTTAGTGTACAGTTTATCAGTTGTTCTGTTATTGTTTTGCATTGAATATAATATTAAAAATATCCATAAAATATGTCAGGGGTCATCAGTTTATTCAGTGATAGAAAAAGGTTGGGAACCACTGCACTGTGGTTGGCGTGTTCGTGCTGCAGATTCTCTTCATGTTTTACCTGCAGAGGGTTCTTGGTGCTGATGGCCAGGACCTGGTACTTGAAGTAGCAGAGCTCGCAGCTCCAGGATCCCCTCTCGCTGATCCAGCGGATGAGGCAGGGCTGATGGGTGCAGCGCACAGAGCCGTCACAGCGGCAGGGGCTCAACAGCTCACCCTGCAGGACAGACAAGGAAAACAAATATTATTTAAATATTTTATACGTCAAATACATAAATCTTGTTTATTTAGTGAGACCTGCAGGTACGAATACCAACAGAGTTTATTCTTGAGAATGCTTTTAAGGACCAGTGTGTGGGATTTAGTGTCATCTATTGGTGAAGTTGCAGATTGCAACAAACTGTATCTGTGTTAGAGAAACAACAGTGGCCATGAAACTTGCTAAAAACACAAAAGGCCGTATATACAGCCAGTGGTTGGTTTGTAGGAACACAGCGGTTTAACATGGCAGACTCCGTAGAAGAGGACCCGCTGACTCTTATATTCAGGCGATTATACAGTAATAAAAACAAACCTATGAATATTATCTTATTATTCTGACCAGAGATCCTCCTCAATGTTACACACTGGACCTTTAAGGCACTGTATGAACATTTCAGCAAAGGGAACCTTTTAAGAAAATATGTTCTGGCAGTCAGCTTCTCCCAGTTAGGACCCGCTGATTAAAACCACTAAACACACTGAATAAAGCAGTTCCACCTTAACAATCACTGCTTCTCCCACGCTGTTGGACAGACAAAGGACGTCCCGGAGGGGCTGCGAGCCGAGCTGCTGCTAACGTTAGCTCAGCTTGTTTCTCTGATAACTTAAGATCCAGACGTCCGATGACTAAAATCCTTCATCCGGTTCAAATCTAGAGTTAAAAAGCACCAAGATCTAAACAGTGGATGGTAACAATGTGGCTTCAGACTGGATCAACAGTCAATGTATGACAGCTTCTGGCAGACAACCACAACGCTGACGCAGGCACAAAGGGGATATGACGCCATCGACAGGCGACCGGTGAAACGCAGCGTTACCTGAATAAAATGACAGATTTCTCTGAGTTTGAACATTGTTGGAAACATTTGAGACAATGGAAGAACTCAACTACATAGAGAACATAGAGCCAGAGTTTATAGATATTATATTAGCAGCTGGTTAGCTGTTTGATTATGAAACAAAATAGAGACAGAACAGACAGAATAGGATGTTAATCATTTAGTTTTACAGTTGCATCGTCACAGAGTCCAGCTGCTTCCACTCCTTATGCTAAGCTATGCTAATTTCTGACTGTAGCTTCATATTTAATGTATCAATCTTCTCATCTAGCTCTCCACCAGAAAGCAAATAACTGTATTTTCCCAAAATGATGAACTATTCCTTTAAATCATTAATAACTTAAAGACGCAAAGCATAAATAATTTAAAAGATGTAACCCAATTTCACATGCTAATACAACATTATTTTTCACCAGCACACACTTTATACGAACAATTTAAGGCAAACAAATGATGAGTCTCTTTTTCCAGATATTCCAGCTGCTTTCTATGTTTGAACCACGATTTACTAAACAAGAATTTGGTTTTAAATGTGAGGGGAGACATTCAAAAAAAAAGAAGCTTTAAGAGCTTACAGGTCGGTTAGCTGTGGAAGAACAGATGAGTAAGTGAGTTTAAATCTCCACATTAGTAACACTGCAGACTGTAAACCGCCATCGAGGTGCTGAACCTGCGTTATTGGCCAACATCACATGACACATTTCATTTTTACTGCAGTTCTGCAAGAGATCGGATCAATCGCCAATTAAACACACCTCTGCTGTGTTTCTCTTATCGGTCCTGTTCACTGCCGGTGTTGGTTTATCACGGGAAAATAAAGCCGATACAGAAACGTAGAGTGTTGTCCTCGGCTGGAAGCGCACATAGAAGCTTATTGATCTCTTGTTAATGTGATAAATCCCACAAGAGATAGCTTAAATAAAATATAAATATGGAGCAAGAATAAGACCTTCTCCCGTCAGACTTTTCAGATAAAATAAAATAAAAATTCAGACAGTTCTCTCCTACTTTTTCTGTCCGTAATGTGGCTTTCAGAGCAAACCTACTGTCTGTCCACAACCTGACGCCTGTTGGCACATTAAGGATGAGCACATTAAGGACTGTCATCACCCTTCAACGTCAAACATCCTTTTTGTCAGATGGTTTAAAATCTGATGGCATGGTTTTGCAAAGTTCTCATTTCACTTCATGAAAAAATAAAAATATATGTGTCCAAACACGTGTGTCACACTTGAATGAAAGCTTTTTGAAACAGCAGCGTTGTGGATGGATATCAGTGTGAATCATGGGTAAATCAATGAATGGGCACAGCTTGATGCAGCGCCCGGCTGGTGAAGGGGCATGTTAGCACTCTGCAACAGCAGCAGGGAGCGGTGGGGCTTCAAGGGCAGGATGGTGAAGGAGAGATGAGCTGCTGAAGACTGTGAGTGAACTCAGCCGACCTCGTAGCAAACTCTCAGCTAACCCAGCTAACACATCCCGGAGACATCAAACACCGAGTGTCACTCCAGTTAGTGTTAAACTCTAAAGCTGTGAGTTTAAAAAGCATAAACACTCCTCTTGTGTCTGTTAAATATGAAGCTGGAGCCAGGAGACAGTTAGGTTAGTATAAAGACTAAAAGCAGCTCTCGGAAAGATCGCTGGGCTTTGAAGCCAATTTCATATCATGGCCAAACTGTGTACTTACAGCAATGGCGTCCGTCACGTGACGCACACTGGCCCAAAAAGACTTCTATATCTATTCCTATAAGATTACATTGGGGAAGAAGCGGCTGCAAATACAGCGTCACAACTCCTGTGATCAGAATTTGATCCATTGCGTCTGCTGATATTTGAAAAGTCTGGAAAAGGAGTGAGGAGGATAAAAATTGCGGTCCCCCATGAGAGGTGGCCCACGGCCAGGGGCGTGTCCAGAGAGGGGACGGGGACCGGGGGGGGAGGTACTTTTATACATAGCTAATTATGGCGATGGAAAAACTGAATCCCTGAAGATATCTGACTGAAAAAGGTTCTGTGGCCACCAACGAGTCTCTCTGTTACAGATGTGCACACTTTATGCTAATCTAATGCAGTTTTGGGCAAAAACAGTATTGAAAATTGTGGATATTAGGAACGACTAGAAAGCTGAGCCACAGACGTCACTGCCCCTCTTGTGCCACCCCAAAAAAATCCTCTGCAGATAATTCGGCTGCCGGTAGAAACTTTGTCTTTTGTTATTATTCTGATGTGAAATTACAAACTGTACATTTAACACGGCTTACTAATAGTTGTAGTAGTAGTAGCCTATATTTCTTCTACATACTTCATACATTTCACTGTTGATGACAGAACGTTAAATAACTTATTATAATAAACTCTATGAGCGGGACCTTGCTAATAGCTAATAAACTGACTGTACACATAATTCCGAAATGGGAATTAGTTAGTTTCTTTTTTTCCCTTTGTTGTGACTTTCAAAATAATGGTTTTGTGCTCCTCAAAATCTTTAATTTCCAACTGATAACTCAGAATAATATTTTCAGTAAGTTGCCAGAGAATTACCTGTTTAATCACGACAGGTTTAATGCAGCAGAAAACTGTGTTGACACAAATATTGCTTCATTTTTTATTTATTTTTCTGTCCATCTGCACTCTGTTGTTCCTCCATCTGGCTCGTTTGACCTTCCCACTTATAATAAAAGACTTCGAGTGTCCCACCGCATAAAAGATTGGATTTGGCAGATGAGCCACATGCCACTCATAAACTTTAAAATAACTTGCCTGCTGACATTATAAAGATAACACGGAGAAGGTCAGAAGCATATGAGGAACTAAATAAAAACCATATGAAAGCAAACATTTCTAAAATGCCAAGCAGTCGAGGAGAAGAGTGTGTGTGTGTGTGTGTGTGTGTGTGTGTGTGTGTGTGTGTGTGTGTGTGTGTGTGTGTGTTCAGGCTCCTGTGTGAGCGTTAATGTCACAATCAACTCCAACAAAATAAAAACAAAAACCCTTTAAAAGCTGTGATTATGATGTTAAACCTCCAACAGAAGCTGTTTAAATGTGATACGTCTGATGATTTTTGTCTCATTGAAATCTAAAAATCAAGAGGAACTTGATTTTCTGGAGCTGCTCCATTAATGATGAATAAGAGACCAAAAGGGGTTTTCTCTGCATATGCATCCAATTATGAAGTATGAAGTCATAAAAATCTGAGTTTGTGGTTTGATGTTCACAAATATTGATCATCTGAAGATCACAGGAACATGTGAATGAAGTTTAGTGAATGTAATTACTTTGTATTTCCAAAACAACCTTTAGGAAAAATGTTCTGCTCAAATGAGGTTAATTATATATATAATGCAAAGGAAACTATGGAGCACAAACATTCAATCTAACAAACTCAGAGATGGATGCCTATCACAGTTGTTAGTACTTATAATCAGTTTTTCTAATAAGCTCAACTTTTCCAGTAATACTTTAATATCGGAGATCCTGGGGGGCAAATAGAATGAAATTTATCAAACTGAGTCACATCTAATTGAATCCAACTTCAATTAACTAAATAAAGATGGAATTAAAATCATTTTTTGTGTGTGTGTGTAACTCTTCCATTCTGAAGTTTTCCCATTTGGGAGGCAACCTGTGTACCTGAAGGCGACACGGAGCAGAACACAGAACGAGACATAAAAGGTCACATCTGGACAAGTAGGACGCGCTCAGATTAAACTAGAACATGTGGAGTTATATTGTGTCGACAGTAAAGCAACAGCACACTTTAAATTAACCTACTTTCACATTTTAAAGGATAAGGACGGTAATTTTATCATCAAATCGTATAAAATGACGAAAACCAGCAACGTGGTTCTTACTGAAGACACAAATAGTTTCATTTTTTAAAAACAGATTAAATAATTTCCCCTAAACAGCTGCTCACTGTAGTTTTCAGCAGACGTTTCATTTTACAGGACTACATTTGTTGGGGGACTATTTTCAGGAGCGGATGAATCCACATTCGGCGCTCTAGTGAGTGAGAGTCTGTGAGATTGGGTCCAAATAAAGTGCAGTGTGAGAGTTCAGGATAATGAAGGAAGATGTCACCCAGAGCAACGGCGACGCTCGTCAGTGTTTTATAGAAGAAAACGACAGTAGGAGTAACAGAGCCCTCTGGTGGTTGGTGAGGGTGAACGTGTTAACAAAACATCGGATTTTAAAGGGTAACTGTGGTGTTTTTCAACCTTTTGTGTCTAAATGACTAATAGTTCATTTTTAAACTTGCTCCAGTAGCAACCACACAACTGGCAGTAACGTAATCCTCCTGTACAGACTTTAAAAGTGTTATTATAAGTGTAACTCTACACAAACAGAGCTTCATTGACACAAACTGTAATTTTACTAAAAGTTACCTTATTGATAACAAAGTACTTTATTTATTACCCAACCCAAAATGTTTTTCTGAACATAATTAAGTTGTATTTCTGCCTAAAACAAACCTTAACTATAGCGTTGTCACATCATAAAACAGATTTAGTTTTTAGGTTTTTAAAGTGTTGTGTGTCATTGTGGAGGACGCAAACAAATATCGTGTCGTTTAAAGCTCTTATATGTAACATTATAACGTTATAATATAATTTTTCTGCATTAAAATGTCTATAAACTCTAGCTCTATGTTCTCTATATAGTTGTGTTCTTACATTATCCCAAATGTTTCCAACAATGTTCCATCTCAGAGAAATCTGTCATTTTATTCAGGTAACGCTGCGTTTCACCGGTCGCCTGTCGATGGCGTCATATCCCCTTTGTGCCTGCGTCAGCGTTGTGGTTGTCTGCCAGAAGCTGTCATACATTGACTGTTGATCCAGTCTGAAGCCACATTGTTACCATCCACTGTTTAGATCTTGGTGCTTTTTAACTCTAGATTTGAACCGGATGAAGGATTTTAGTCATCGGACGTCTGGATCTTAAGTTATCAGAGAAACAAGCTGAGCTAACGTTAGCAGCAGCTCGGCTCGCAGCCCCTCCGGGACGTCCTTTGTCTGTCCAACAGCGTGGGAGAAGCAGTGATTGTTAAGGTGGAACTGCTTTATTCAGTGTGTTTAAGGTGGAACTGCTTTATTCAGTGTGTTTAGTGGTTTTAATCAGCGGGTCTGTTTGTGTTGGAGAGGAGGAGACCTCTGTGGATCATTGGGCTCCCGGTAGAAACCTCCTGAACCATGAACACTGAAGGAATCCTAACCGGGAGAAGCTGACTGCAATGACGCCAATGGTGGTGAAGACAACACCTCCCATGATCCCACGCTGCTTCACCACCACATCAGACTTCATCTTCTGTTATTGTTTTGATGTGAGAGAGCCCCTAGTGGCAGAAATTACATACTGTACGTGTAATTTGGAGGCTTATGGCACAGAGGAATAAGATATCAGCTCTGGATACACACGATACTCTTCAGTTGGATCAATTCACTGCTGGTTTTGGTCTTTTCAAATATTCCTGCTTTAACAACAACAGGCATCTTTCCAACAAACACAAAGGCAGCTCGCCGCACACAAACACACACTTCCTGCTCGGGTGATCTGGCGTGGGTTAGTCCCTCGAGGCCACTTCACAGAGCATGAAGGTGTTAATTTACTGTGTCACTTCTATGACTAAGAAAACGGTGTTCCTCCTCAGCTGTAACCTTTACACACACACACACACACACACACACACACAAAATATAATAAAATAACAATAATTCTGCAGTGGAAGTGCCGCCTGAGCTCCAGACTGTGTGTCACTGTGGAAACACGCTGTTGGGCACTATGAGTGAAAAGGGCAGGCAGGGGTGATCACCACCTCCGCCGCCACCTCCATCCCTCCTCACCTCAACACTGTATTCTCCATGCTAACCTAACGCCGCCGGCCCCTCCAGCAGGCTCTGGCACCACTTCTGTGAATCCAGACAGCGTTAAATGGAATCAGGGGCCCGGCTGCCGTACCGTGGCACACACTGACGCCTTTGACAGACAGTTAATAAGGATTCCTACTCAATGCGGCCCACAGAGCAAGGTGATTATGTCTGTAGGTAATTGGCTCGCTGACAGCGACATGATCCCGGCCCCTGTTGAGACCTGCTTGAATAATGAAATAACAATAAAATGGCAAACGTGTGCTCCCCTCCACCCCACACCCTGCACCCGAGGAGGTATAAGGCACTTTACCTTTGCACAGACTACAAAATTGAGTGCTGTGGAGGCAAAAAAAAAAAAAAAAACCCAACAGAACAACCAACAAGCTAATGTGAGAGTGAGGAGCTGATGTAGTAGTGTAGTCTCAGGGTTTTCCCTCAGTGCTTTGTTTGCTTGCTCTTTGTCTGTAGCTAAAAGAGGCAGCTCAGAGCCATGTTGCACGATGAGTCACCTTGCCGGAGAGCCCAAAGCTCCAAAACATCAACCTTTTATTAACGGAAAGGATGTTTGAGTGGGCAAGATAGCAACCTGGGGTCGATCCCTGTCTGCGCCATCAAACGACTTTCGTATCCGAAACAAGTCTGAACTGATTTATGCTCCGTCCTGTGGCTCTCCAGTTTACTATGTCTCACAATAGAAACTCTAAGGCAGATGTCATAAATTAGCACATGGGCTGTAATAACACTATACGCCTATCTTAGGGAAGTGACTAAATGGTAATATCCATCTGTGCTCCTACAGGATTTACAGTGTTTCTAATTATCTCAGACTTCAGGACTACCTGCTGAGCCAGGCGGCACAGGTTTCTGCACATCTGGTGAGATCAACATTTGGCCACAGACCAAAAAAAAAGAGATGCACTACTTTATTGTTTTGTTTCGAGCTCCGGGAAAAAGAAATCAAGCAAACGGGGGAGAAAGAAAAGAGGAAAAAAAAGTAATAGGAATAGAAACGGATGACAAATTCATTTAACTTGTCATTTATCACCACAGTCGACACCATTGTCACCAGATCAATAACTGATCATCCTGTTCTGTGACACATGCAGACCAGGAGGGGGGGGCAGTTGATTTACATTTACAAAATGATTGTGACTCATGCATATTCAGTCCCTCTCACTCTATTTGTCATCCTTGCAGACCTAATTGGCTAACTTTCTTTGTTGCTATGCTGGCCGGGTTTCAGATGTGTGGGAACTGCTGCCTCTCCACCACTGATTAGCTTAGCTAGGAAAACAGTGTTATTTAGATAACCAGATCAATGAGCAATCACCTTCTCAGACACACACACACACACACACACACACACACACACACACACACACACACACAAATATTTGCCTCTGAATCCAGGGTGTAAGGGGACAGAAGGTGCCCCCATGCTGTAAAGCTCTATGAGGCAAATTTGGGGCCTAATAAATATAAATATAATAATAATAAGATTTATTTTTACAACCTCAGATTAATCCTGGATTGTTTTTGAAAGGGGGAAGGTGGGTGGCAGAAAGAAAGAAAGAAAGAAAGAAAGAAAGAAAGGAAGAGAGAGAGAGATGTAGGACAGGATGGTTGTAGTAGCTCCACTGAATCAGAGACCCCTTTGTGATTTGCTGTATAACACACACACACACACACACACACACACACACACACACACAAATCAAAATGGCAGATTACAATACAGAACCCAGTGTGCTGGTTTAAACTTCCCTAAAAAAAAGAACAATCCTTCTGACCTGGAACAATTCATGCATGCAGGAAAAAACCACAAAGGCTTCTGTGCAGCACAGAAACAAAAACACAATCTGCCTGTCTGTCTGTCTGTCTGTCTGTCTGCACGTCTACCTGCTCTGGGCCTTGGAAACAGATCCGGCACTGGGGGGTCCGCAGGCTGCTCGCGGTGCTGGCCAGAGACACGGCGTCCAGGCCCACTTGCAGCTTGGGCTCCTTGTCCTCAAACGCCAGGCTCCGGGGCCGCGGGTCGCTGCCGTAGTACTCCTCCTCGTCGTCCCGGGAATGGCAGTCGACGAAAGGCGGCCAACCGCAGCCGCCCATCCCCAGACCTCGCATGGTTGTTGTGGACCGTCTCTCTGTGTCTGAGCCGGACTGTCTCGAATCGGATCGCATAAACACCAGGACCTTCAGTTCGTTAAAAAACATGCGGATCCGATACTTGAACATGTTTGGCTACATACAGAATCCGCCAGACTGGAATAAATAAATGAAGTGTTTTTATCTTTCTCTCTCCTCCTTCTATTATTATTATTATTATTATTATTATTATTATTTATTATTATTCATACACCCGATGTGTTCATTGTTTTATTGTAGGCCTTGTATCTCCAGCAATAAGCAGCCTGTTTATTGGAAATCCAGAGAAATAAAGGCTCTCGCCCCACTGATGGCATGTGTGTCTAAAGCCAATGCGGATGAAAGATTTTTCCCTTTCAGCTGGCCGACACACTCTCCTCAATATTCATCACTCAAACAAAACTCAGCAAACGCCGTCTTAGATGCATCTTCCACCGCACCCCAGAAAACATGACACCTCGCTCGGGTTTTGGTCCATTTTCTCCTCCACCACCACCACCAGCACCACCAGCACCACCACCACCACCACCACCACCGCCGCCGCTGCTGCTGCTGCTGCTGCTGCTGCTGCTCTCAAAGACACCTTTTTTTTCTCAGATGCAACTGGGCTTGCAGCAAAAAATAGCCTACATGTTTTTTTTTGCTACCCAAAGCAGAAGACTGCGAGAGAGTGGACGAGAGGAAGAGAGAGCAGCACGGAGCCAGGAAACAGGAGCTGGGCTGTAAAACACAACGACATGCCATCCACACAGTCACATCTGGGACTCTGGTCGAGAATCATAATCCAAAAAAAACCTAAAAATATAAAAAAAATAAAGCTGCTGAGGATGAAAATGGAAGTTTGATTTGTCTCTTATTTATATGTTATTGTCCCTCACTGTAGCTTCTCCAAGCGTCAGATCATGGTCCATTTTTTTCCTCCTCTCTCTCTCTCTCTATTTCATCTCCTGATTGTAAAGCCTCTGGTTGATCCGCGGTGAATCCGTCCCATTCAGCCCGACAATCCGCGTCGAGGTGAGCACCAACACAATCCTGTTCATTTTCGGGAGCCCGGTTGGAGGCACGGCGGCACGAAAACACCCGAAAGCCCCGCGTCCCCCCGTCTGCGCTCCGTGTCCATCAGCATGTCGGTGCGAGCCGTAAAAACACACCGCGGCGCGCACAAATGTCAGAGAGAGGCGGAATAACAAAAGACACCCTCTCTCTCTCTCTCTCCCTCTCTCTCCCCCTCTCCCTCTCTCTCTCTCTCTCTGACTAAAGGAGGGAGAAAAAACGGGGGGAAGACGCACGGAGATGTCTTCGCATCCGAGAGCAATTACGCAGCAGTAATGGTATTGATTATTGGATCAGATCGATGGAGGTGATGATGCTGCTGGCGCTGATTTTTCCTCCTCGAAATGGTCGGCTCGGAGATTGAACCAACGCAGCAGCTACTTCCGGAACAGGGAGAAAAGAGAGGAGGAAGAAACAAAAATCATCCTGTAAACAAGTCGCTGTGTTTTTTTTTCCTCCTCCGGTGGGTGATGCGCCTCTCTCTCTCTCTCTCTCTCTCTCTCCCTCGCTGTCTCCCACCCGCGCTCCCGGCAGCTGGGCAGGGAAGGAGCTCCGGCTGCGTTATTATGGAGCAGTCCAGCCGCTGTCCAGGGTGCTGATCTCCCCGCTGCTGACGTGCAGGCTGCGGGCCACATGCACCGGGAGCCCGCGAAGTACGAACCGGGAGCTGCTGCGTTAAAGGCTGCAGGGTGTCAGACTCAGTGGGAGAAACTACAATATAATATTAACAGGGTTTGTTTTATATTCGTGTATTAATCAGCTGGGGACAGTTTGTTGCTTTAGAATGAGTTTTATCTGCAGAGGGAGCGGGTCGCTTCTACGAGGCCGCCATGTTTCTATGGGAGCCCAGAAGGGATGAACCAAACACTGGCTCCAGATAAGGGCTTTTTTTTTTTTTCTCCTTTACACTTGCTTCCAACCAACTGAACACCACTCGCATCTGTGTTTGACGACGTGGGAATGAGAACGGGCTATGTGTGTGTGGAACTACGGTGGCCACAAATTGTGTCAAATTTAACAAATTATCTTGAAAATAAAATAAAAATAACAGAAATTAATAGATATAATGGTCAGTTATGGTTAAGAGGCGGGATTAAGATGGCAGAAATGCCCAGAAGGGACAATTGTAACCGTCTGTCACGTGACGCCCCCAAAACTAATTGTTCACATAATGTCATATTGTGAAAGACGCAGCTGTAAAATGATGGATCCGCGTTTTTTAATGGTCTCAATCCTTTTGGGGGAGTAACAGATTAGAAAAAAAAGTAACTGTGATCCACTAGTTAGCAAAAAAGAAGTAATCAGATTACAGATACATTCAGTAAAAATGGGGATTATTTAGCAGGATTACAATTTAAAAAATACTTACAGACACATTTTAGATAATAAAATATTAAAAATTTATTTTCTAAGGTTTCATTGTTGTGTTTTCTAATAAAAAAACATCAATAACTCTTATTAACATTTAATTTCTCTTGGTTTTATTATTATTAAGTCTAGAATTAAATTATTCATCCCAGTTTAATTGGAGCTAAACAGGAAGTCTCTGGTCTGTGTTGATCCAGGTGTTTTATTTACAGCTTTTATATGAATGAACGGAGCGCCGTCTCCAGTGTCTCTGACTCACTTCACTTCCCGTTTTCATTCCCAGGTCGTCAAATAAAGACACGAGTGGTGTTCAGTTAGTCGCAATCTGCAACTTCACCGCTAGATGTCGCTAAATCCAACACACTGGTCCTTTAAATGGTTTGAAACAGCACAGAGACACAAGCCGTACAGTACATATATTGTATGAACATAATTACTTTATAATGTAGGTTTATAATGACTTTATTTTTTTAGTAAGTAAACAGTATTCTTGTAAATACTTAACAACACAAACTGACCGGTTGTTGCCCCCCTTTGTGCACCGCAGGCTTGTTTTCAGTACTTTGTTGGTACCTGACTCACACAATGAAATTAAACTGTGAGCAGCATTAGAAAGCGGTGCCATGAATCCTCCTTCGTGGAGGTTATAATGATGTTTAGAGAGACGTTGAGTCTCTCTGCAGTCTGAAGTCCTTTAATCATTAAAACTAATATATTATATTATATATATATCATAAATATTATATTATATTATTATATTAGATTTGGTATCAGCAGAGATCCTGAGCCCAACAGCACCACAGTATCCTGCCGGGCCGTCAGCACTGAAATGGGAAAAGTTTGATTTATGTCACATAACATGGTCACAGAACATCATATACGTGGCTACCATAGTCTGTAGACTGTATATAAAGCAGCTGCAGAAGAATCAGAAGAAGGTAGGGCTCAGGCTCTACTGGTTCTGTCCTCGGCTGAGACCGATCCTGTGACACAGACAGCAGTGCGGCTCGGTCACAGTACTCGTCACCGTGTCAGTTTCCTGTAAACAGCAGTGCAGGAAAACTGTCTCAGGGCCGTTTATCAGCACGGCGAGACAAGGTAATTAGGGAAACATCAGAGGCACGGGTCCAGAGGTCACTTTAATCTGCAGTTTACAGGGAAGAAGCTGCCTTATTATCTCTCTCTCTCTCTCTCTCTCTCTCTCTCTCCCCCATTCTCCTCCATAGCAACACTTCCCACAAAATCCCCTGTCACATTGATCTTGATTGATTTTTCACACTCTGCTTGTTACAGATATGGATTTATTTTAAGCATAACACTTGATTTGAGATGCAGCGCCCCACCTTGGCTATCATGCACTGTTTCTTTCTATATAAATATATGTAGCCTGTGTACTGTAAACTGTGTGTTTGGGGCAGTGCTGGAGTGCTTTGTAATGATTAAACAGAGGAGGTATGAGAGTAGCCTGGTTGCTTACAGACCTGGGACCGTTATTTCATACAGAGCGGGGACATAAAAACAAACACTGCAACTACATTTGTGAATCTTCGTGATTTGACCAACATTCATTCGCATTAGCACACACTTTAGGAATAAAGTGTTCTGCAGTGTAGGTAATGTATGCATTACATGATGGTACATTGTGTGGGAGGGTTATTTTATGATGGTTCTGTGTGTGTGTGTGTGTGTGTGTGTGTGGTAAGCAGGGAAAAAATAAAAAAAGGAAAAGTCTGGATGTGCCGGTATCCAAAAAACACTGAACATCCTGCTTTTTCCTCGATTTATAAGAAGAAGACTTCATGTCTGCTCGCCAGGGAGTCACGTTTCTGTTTAATGTTCTGTAAACCTGAATCCCCCCCCACCCACCCACCCACCCCCGTTCTCCTCCATCTCTCCTAACTTCTTTTAATAAAAGCATTTTCCTTGTCATCTACAGCGCCGGTTCCCTTCCTCTTCCCTCTGACTTCACCCCCACAACGCCATCAGATGAGCTCCAATAACGCTTATCAACGCCGCCCGACATGTTCTGGATGTGTTCTCTGGAATGGATTTAAAGCTGCGTGTTATTTCACAGCATTAAAAAAAGAAAGTGCATATTTTTACAATAATTAGGTTATTTTTATACAGACTGTCAATGCTGAGGCTGTCAGAATGGCAGGATGTGGACATTTCATTTGTATTTATAATATATATACATGTCTTATTTTCTATATATTGTTGTTATATTGTATTATGTACATACTTTTACACACTAACTACTTCACTGTTTCTTTTTACTTGCTGACAACTTGTTTTAATTGTGTGTGTAATGTTTAGGTTTGTGGTTACAACTGTCTGACTGGTTGATGGGAGGTCTGTATGTTGTAGCTGGTAACTTATATATTAAATATCAACACCAATTTGTCTTTTTTAAATAAAATACCACACAAATTCATCAGAAAAGGGACAATTTTCATCATAAAATAGTAGAAATATTTGCTTCCAGGTATTTTTCTTTTATTATTCACATTAAAGTTCTAATACGTAACATTTCTACATTAAAATATCTATAAACTCTAAACCTATCTTATATATGTAGTTGAGTTGAGTTCTTACATTATCCCAAATGTTTCCAACAATGTTCAAACTCAGAGAAATCTGTCACTTTATTCAGGTAACGCTGTTTCACCGGTGGACTGTCGATGGCTGCCCCTTTGTGCTGCGCAGTGTTGTGGTTGTCTGTCAGAAGCTGTCATACATTGACTGTTTATCCAGCGGGTCTGTTTGTGTTGGAGAGGAGGAGACCTCTGTGGATCATTGGGCTCCCGGTAGAAACCTCCTGAACCATGAACACTGAAGGAATCCTAAGCGGGAGAAGCTGACTGCAATGACGCCAATGGTGGTGAAGACAACACCTCCTCCTCTCACCCCCTAGTGGCAGAAATTACATACTGTACCTTTAATAAAGAGACCAAATTCATGTTTTCATATACCTGGAGGGACCAGCAAGAACAGTTTCAATGCACATACGAGCATGTGAGTGTTATTTTAAGACAAACTTGAGATAGCAGAATGAATAAACTAGCATTTTAAAGTGAAATACCACTTTAAGACATGAATGCTCTGATTAACTCTCTGTATAACCTGTGCTGCCCTTCCATCTGAGGCCTGACAACACGCATCCCTGCTCTGTTTCATTATTGATAGGCCATATTGACCTGTTTGTCTTCCCTCACTGACGAGAATGATTTGCCTTCCTGTTTGTCCTCACTGAGCTGTGAGAGGAATCCAGATCCAGATGCAGACCCATTAAAACCAGTCGACGGCGGTCCTGTACGATCCCGTTCCCCGTGTCAGAGGAGACGCCCTCTGTTTATGAAGGTTGCAGCTGAATGTGGCTGTAAGTGTCTTTTAGGTCCAGTGTGTAACGTTGAGGAGGATCTAAAGGGCTGGCTCCAGTTTTGAGTTGAGAATAAGGTACATTTTAGAATAAGTGGTATGTTTGAGTTCAATGAAAAAAGACATGTATTTAGAAAAATGTGTGCAGATTTGTAAATAAAACACTTTATTTTAATAATTTATTTATTATTATTCTATATTCTGCTTTACTAATAATGTTTTTGAGTTAAATATCTTCATTTGGGGGCTTTTCCAGGTAAAGATTAATTATTAAATCAGCATATTTATCTGCCACCCCATGAATATTTCATATATATATATATATATATATATATATATTCATAAGTGTGTTTTCATTTGTGTGTAATCACCTGAAAATAATCATTTGTAACCTTAGAAGGAGTTTTTATCTACAGAGGAAGTCTTCTGAGGAGGCAGCCATGTTTCTACCATAGAACGGACAAACCAAACACTGGCTGCAGTTTAGATCTTTCGTGTTATTTTGTACGTTTCACTGCCACTAAATCCTACACACTGGTCCTTTAACTACTTTATATTCAGTGTAGTATTAGAGTGCAGCAGATACCAACCTAGGTTCCCCTCCACAAGATAAATCTGAGGGTTGTGAGATGATTAAAGGGAGAGAAAAATAAAGAAAACATTGTTTTGCGACACTAATTTGAGTAAAGAAAAATAGCTCAAAGTTGAAGCTACTTAAAGGAGCAGTGTGTAGGACTGAGTGGCATTCAGTGGTGAAGTTGCAGATGCCAACTGAATACCTCTCACCTTCCAAGCATGCAGGCGAAACTACGGTGGTTGTGTTTGGTTTGTCCGTTCTGGCCTAATGAAAACGTACGAATATTATATTCCATTTCTGCCGATAGATCCTCGTCAACGTTACACACTGGACCTTTAAGTTCTGATAATAACAATGTACCTTCACTTTTTAAATGCAGCGCCCACTTTTAATAGAGAATTGGTTCTTTTATTTGTGTCTGAACTCTTCTTCCACCACTGTATCATTTCTCTGAATATAAATAATTGCTTGATAAATGATGATGAAATCTCTGGATGTGTTGAAAACGCAGTAATTATCCATGTAACATTCCTAAATACACACAGGAGGTTTATTTGTAGAACTCGTGCATCCATAGGGACATATTTTGTTTTGAAATATTTTATTATCATATTATAAAAAACGTATTATGTTAAATTATTTATTCTTAGGCCTAAAGCTTAATGTTAGATGAAAAACAAAATAAAATTTTCTAAAATGTAGCTTTAAGGTACACTAAATAATTCAATATCACTACAGAAAGTTACCGGATATTATATATTTGTATGTAAATAATATTATATATATTATATTATCTTTTTACTTTACCCATGTGCCATTGAGGGTGTGGGAAGGGAGGAAGGAGGGGAACTTTAATCTTTGTGGGTTTATTTTGTATATTTGTTTTACCTGAGTTACTTTACGTGTTTTTTTCCATGTCCAGTTTTTAGAACACAAAATAAAATATGTAAATATTGCTGCGATATATGAAATCTAAACTACCCAAACAGCTTTTGAATGCAGGACTTTTACTCCTAATGGAGTATTTTAACAGCATAGTATTAGCATTTTAACTTTTTCTGTCACCAACAGAAAAAGGACCATTGTAAGAAACAAATTATTGGTCCCTGGTGATCTGGATGCTGCCTCCCCCCCTGCCCCATGCTGGAAAGCTATATACATAATTAGCTCTGCCTTTTATATAGGACAAGCCCCTGTAAAACCCATTCATCATAGCGCTGTGATATAATGGACCAAATGTTTTAAGAGCCCTGCCTTCATGCGCTTGCAGAGTCCATGCTATATCTGTAAGAGGACAGATGGCCATCCCTGTTGGTGCGATTCTCCACAGCTTCTCCGAGCTAATACACCCGGCATATGGACATGCATCACAGGGTGGGGACTGGCATCGGGCCCTCAGGAGAGCACGCTGACAGGATAGGGGATGTGATTTTGTGGTGCAGTTTCCAAAACGCCTGGTCCCCAGCCTGCCGGATACACTCAAGACCCAAAGCCCTTACCAGGCACATTTCACTTACATAAATGTTCCTGCGTCTCAGGAAAATGAACCTGCAGGTGCTCCATGGCAGGGTGCACCAACGCCAGAGATTAGGTCACGCCTTTCTTGAAGGGGGGGTGGCGGTGATGGTGACAGTCTCTGCCATGGGCCATTAGGATGAGGGCAGAGGAACAGTTTATCCTCATTTAGGACAACCTTGGTTGAAAGGTATCAGGATGATTTCCTTGTGCTCTGTCTCTTTTCCCCTTTCAGATTGTACTTGAGCTCTCCTTCTGCTCTCCCCTCACTCCCCCCCCCACCACCACCACCCCACCCTCCTCAGCCCACCCCCACATTGCTGGACCCGTCCCAGCTGAAGGGATTAATGGCCTTCTGAAGGAATATCACAGGAAATCAAAACCTACTGCTTGAGTAAATTAATTCTACAGCTGCCACGTCGATGCGATCCACCTTCAACTCGCAATCAATCTGTGTGATGATATTCAGAGGAAACGGCCACCGCTGTTCATAAATTCCTTCCCCCGTCTTTTAAGGGTTTACTCACGTCAGAGCGGGGCTGAAACAACAGTCAATGGTGGAGGAAGACATGGCAGCTGCAACAGACTCTGTGCTGCCATCGTGTGGTGAAAGGTGTCACATCTTTGGTGCCATCTCACCTAAACTCTGTCCTCCTGTCTGATTTAATGTCAAGATTAAACTGAGCCCTAAAGAAACACAGCTTATACTGTTTTATTCTTATTATATATATATATATATGTTATTATTTTCTAGTTATCACCTCCTCTGTTGTGTCCTTTGGATTTATTCTCATTTTATCTGCCTTATCTTACATGGTTCTTTATTACTTTATGTAACTTTACTTTGAAACATTGCTAAGAAATAAAGTTTATTCTTATTATTCAGGGCGCTCTTTTAAAAAGACACACAGCACTCAAACGTTTGGGGCCACCTGTTATATTAACCTTTTTATTCTTTCCTATAATCATGTCTATTTTAACATGGATGAAAAGAATAATTCACAAAATGTATTACTAACATCTGAAATAGTTTTGGCCACAAAGGAAGAAGAATTAAACGATTATAACCTTCATTTATTCCCAACAATGCAGCAGGACAGAGGACAATACTGCTGTAACCTTCAGTTCGTTTTCCAGTCCACAAAAGCACAAGTGATCCTCGACCATTACTGAACCACATCAGTGCAGCTGAACCGATGTGACTGATGCAGGGGCGGCATGAAGTATGTGTCTCAGCTTTCCAGTCATTCCCAATTTATGCGATTTCAACACTGTTTATGGACCCAGTATCCAGAAATATCCAAATATATATACATATAACAACAATCCATGGGATTAGCATTAAGTGGGAATGTCTGCAAACAGGAAACTCATTCAGATATCCTGAATTTGGTCATGTCAGTCTTTCCATCGCCAAAATTTTGCCTAACTTCGGAGCGTTACTTAGCCGCCTTACCAACACTCTAGCATGACGTGATCTGTACCAACAGATGGTCTTCTAGTGTGATACGATACCAGTACATTCACTAGCTTTAAAACAGAGCTTCTACAGCCTCTAAAAGACAGCGTGGAGCAGATGAAGTAAGGGTAATGGGGTGGCCATTTAGATTTCAGGGGTGAGCAGGGCCACCCCACACTGCCCCTCTGGAAACGCCCCTGTGACCAATGATTGGCAGTTTCTAATGTTCTTATCTGTCGCTCTGTGGCATCGTTGTCTCTTTCTGCCGTCTAGTTGAACCATTGTACAGCGTTTTGCTCTCCATGTATAAAATACAATCTGAAAGCATAAAAGACCTTCAGTAACAAAGTCCTCTGAACCACCTGACTGCACCAGATCAAGGCCCAAACCTTTAAGCATTAATGTACACTGACACAAAGACTCATGGGAGACGGTTTCCAATTTGAGGTTTTATTATTTGGAAAATTAAGTCTCAAAAATTCAAGATACATTTGAAGAACAAGTGCACACAAATTCAAAGTGAGGTGTAATATATGGCATATTAATGCGTAAAGATCTAACTCCAAATCAGCAGCAGGAAATCCATATCAGCCAAGTTGACAGGTTCAAGTAAGACATTTAATTACAGTTTGTGT